CAATTCATTACGGAATAGTCAATTGCAAAATCCCGAATAATTGTTTTTTACCAGACAAATCCCCATCTCCTATTGATGCCCGAATCTTTGACAGTAAAAACATCTGCATGTCCATGATATAATGTGAGTGTAATAATCCACAACTTCTAAATACCAATATTGTTGTGTAATCATTATTTTCTTCGAATGGATTTTTTCAAAATGTGAACTCTAGTCAGTATTGAATTCCTGATCGATGGCTCTCTTCATGATTTTTCAATGAAGCCCAGTTAAGTTTATGCGTTCTCTCGAAACACATCTCAGACTTATGGCATCCAGGAGATACCTCAGCTTTTACGATTTCTCTGAGTTACCGTTGTATACGTACTGCTTGTCAGTGAAGAGTGATCTTAGTTTTTAGTGGTGGGCACAATTGAGAGGAAGTGACGATTTTGTAGAGTGATGTCTGCTAAAGTTCACTCGGATATGGCAAGCATTATACCTTTAGAATTCATCGATAATATATGATCGTTGAGAGAAGAATACAACATAGATGTATCAACTCATACAAAATTAGAGGTACATCTATATGTACGACGATTGATTTGATTGGATCGAGTAGAGGTTTGTTGTTGGTCGATCATTGGAATTCCTCTTGGATTCGGATGAGTTGGAGTGATTGCTTGCTGCTGAGCTTGTGCGTTTCAATCCATCATGATGTGCGAACTGCACATCACATTTCAGAGTTTTCAGCAAAAAAACGAGAGACAAGAATTGGTGCACTATTTTGGATTGGCAGGCATGTAGTCAGCTAGAGGAATTGCATCAACAATGCCCTGATTCAGAGGAGTTAGTAATGTGTATTCATCCCGAAAATGTGAACTCACTAAAATCTGATTGAAGAGCGTCGTTTGATGAAATCCTTTCAATAATTTTTCTATGCTAAGAAATTATTATTATTAATTAGTTACATCCACACATTTTCTAATAAGTCTTTCATTGTTTCGACTCTTTAATTTACACAACGAAGAAAACTTAAATGGCATTCTTTAATTAGACTGTTAACATTTTTTTCAAATTTGAGTCACAAACTAATTTGAATGTTCAATTAGGTGCGTTTTAATTAAATTTAAATTAAAAACACTCACTACATTTCTCATTTATCTTATAACAGTTGATTTTTTATAAAAATTTGAATTGTTCTCATCGTGAAAATTGAGAATGAACAAAATATTCAAGAAATTAAATTATTCGCCAACGAAAAATTGTTAAAAATTTCATATTTTTTTCCTTGCAATTTGAAGTGCAATTTTTAAACAGTCTAGGTATAACGGATCTTTCATCTCGTATCATTTATACCTATAAATGCTTTTTGTTGCGAACTACGTAAATATCTTGAAACAATTTAGAACGAAATATAATGAAAGAGTGATTTTCGGGATGAATACAGTAATGTAATAACTAATATATTTGATAAAGTAACGGCATAAGCAGCCAATCTATGTCAGAATTTTGAAAGAATCCAAAGTGACTGTCGAGAGACGTAAATTTAAAGTGTACGGCTGGTTGCATCAATTAAATATGACAGATTTTCAGAATTTCGTAATTTGATCTGCAAATCACCATGACAGTAGAAAATATCCATTCTCTTTTTGTGAAAAGAATTTTCCATGGTTTAAGGGAAAAGTTGTGCTCCTTTTACAGCTGACTACCGCCAAAATTTTTATATAGATTCAGCAATTTGGGGAGATTTTCAAAATACTCGTGGAATACACGAAGTATGATTAGTCACAATGAATTTGATCAATTTATACAAATGGAATTTAACTGAGATACTTCCAAATGAGATTAGGTAGCAATGAGAGAAAAAATTCTGAAGCCCACCAGAGCGCATTCAATGCATTTTATCCGCTTTCACGTCGCCGTCGCCTCCAGTAATCAGCTGTCAGTAATAATTAAATACGTTAAATTCCTGTGATTTTCTTCACACTTGACCTTAATGCATTTATGTTCGCATTTCAATGATAGCTATATAAATTATTCGAATTAAAAGAGTGCTAGCAACGTAAGCCATCGCGGCAAATGACTCTTCAGTCTCAATTCGTCGAGATTTTACCTGCAGAATGTACCTGCAATTAAATTCATATTAGTCTTTTCATCCTCGAAATATTATGTTTAGGGAAAATTCTTGCAACCAGCCTCGAGAGAAGATGGAAAAAATAAATAAGAAATTAATGAGTTTGGAATTAAGATAAAGATGTTATATCTGCGAAGTGACTAAGAGGAAAATTGTAAATTTTCGTAGTGAAGTAGTTTGTAAGTAGAATTCTCTTTGGAATGGAGATCATACATAAGAAATGAGGGAAAAATGTTTGATAGATACAAAGACTCTGCTGCAGATAGTTTACCAGTAAAGTCTCCCGGTTAAATATCACATATTCATCGGAAATTTTACAGTTGTTAGAACACTAAGATAATCTTAACAATATTTTCCATTTCATCGATGATAGGGAAAAACAAATGCAATTTCCATCTTTGACATTGTGAAGTAGCCATTGTCATGGTTTTTTTTAAAAAAAGTAATTAGTTTGTAGAGTGTACGTCCAACAACTTTTTTCTATAAGAGTTTTTATACCAATTGAAACGTTATCCATATATGAGCCGCACTGATATCAAGGTATAAGAGATTTTAGCCCCGTTTAATACTCGGTGATTGACAGATCACCTATCTAGCCATGTCGACAATTCATCGTTGTGACCTTTGAATTTTGATGAAACAGGCAAAATAGAGTGTGACAATTAATGTGAAAGTGCTAGCACTATTCGAGGGATACAATTGTGCCGTACGTTGAAATAAAAATTTAACTGAAGGATAAACAATGATGATCCTTGAGTTTGTATGCATTTGACTGAAAATTTTCGACTCGCGTGCCAAGATAATCAGTATCATGCCATAATTTTGTTCGCCCTGCGACTTTCCTTAAATTAAATTCCACGAAAAATACAGAATAAACATCTGTATCTATATCAATTTAGCAATTTTATCACTTTTTTCCGCAAAAGAAAAATATAAAAATAACAGAGTAAAAGTTTGTAAAATGTCGTGAGGCTCGGCATAAGAAAAATTTCACCAAATCTGTGATATAGCGCAAACACACCTCAAAGTTTTGATACTGAATTTTCAAATTGTACGGGCCCCATGACATTGACGTCCAGATGATCTCATCATTACTGATTCACCAGAATATTTTCCGCACTGAAGCGAAGAGTAGAAAAGAAGGAATATTTTTATTCAAGGATCAATTGTCGTCAGAACCAATCCATAATTTGCCATTACACACGGTTCGATGATAATAAACAGAATATATTTCCTGATAAATTGACAAAGAAACAAATAATTCATAGAGAATACGATTGTTCATCACGATTGTTCATGTACCAAAGCTTATTACTGTATTCGTAAAGTAATTTAATGATTACTTTGTATATCGCTGTATCAATTACCTACCATTGTCGTAAAATGCTTATGCAAATTAAATATTTAAATATATTATGTATGATACTTCAACCAATCATGACAATTTTACAGACAATTCATCATTATTTCGATAGAATTGAGCCTTTCAATGACGGACAAATCAATTATCTTCAATTTCCTTCAACAACATTTTTTTTCCTTCTTAAAAAATACAAATGGTTTTCAAATATGAGGCGACATGCAGTATCGTGCCATCAATATTATAATGAAATTATACGGAGTGCATTAAAAATAATTGATTGAAATAATCTTAGATAATCAATGTAAAATAACTGAATGAATTTTTTTCCGTTAAGTGCAAATGTTTTACAATGGAATAGATATGCTACAGAGGGAACGATAAATGATTGAGATTAAATTTTTTTCTGCGCAAATGATTTATAATCGATGGAAGTAAATAAGTATTATGAGAAATGAAAATAAGTAGTACATAATACATGGTGGATTATATGTACATCATTTCGGCCATATGCGACATCTTCTTTGGGATATGAACGAATTCTTCAAAGTAACTTGCAAGTTCATCGATGGTAACGTCACAAGATAATGGTGGTGATATTCTCGCTTGCACTGAGCATGTATTTGTGCTTGTCGATTGGCCAGATGTTGATGAAGTTGATTCATTACTATTATTACTCATACCACCACCCGGAGCGCTCTTCAAACTCGGCATCGTATTGCTTCTAGCGCGTTTAAAACTATTAGAACTATAACTTTCATTCAAACTCGTATCATCTTTAACTATCCGTTCGTTATTAATATTGAGTGCTTTAAAGTCTTTTGTCACAGAGCCATGGCCAAATGTACGTGTGTTTTTTTTTCGTCTGTTCGAAATACTGATTTTACATGTTTCTTTCAGCATTTTACTTGCAATTGATTCACACAATATATTTGTACTCCCATTGTCATTGAATTTTAAAACAGCTTCTCTTATTATACAATTCTTTTTTGGCTGATCGATGATTTTATCACTTTTTGATGGTTTAAAGTTCGTTGTTGATTTAACACCCCGTGGACTGATGAAATTCGGCGTTGCTCGATTCGGCATTGATTTTCTTCTGAATAAATAATTTGTGTCTGATTTTTTATTACGGCCGTTTGAACGGAAGGGATTTGAAGACTTTGATTCCTCTACACTTCCACTGCTGTTTCTGCTTCTGTATATAAATATAAATTTTCCATTTCAATTTAAACATTTTAAGGAGATTACAGGGTGATTAAATCATCTGTCCTTCATGATTTTTTCTAAATTTAATGTAAAAAATAATATTTCGTAAACATAACCAGAATCGGATGACTCATCGATTTCGACACAAGGTCATCTAGAATGTATGCCTTTGAGCAACCGAAACATTCAATTTGGAGAGAAGATATTTATATATTTCCCCTTGGTCTTACGACAATGTTGAAGAATAATCAATCTTTATGATGAATGTCTGGACTACTTTACCAAATAAAAAATAAAAAAGTAGGATAATTGTAACTCACTGCGGACAACTCGTTGACAGTCGATCAATTTCAAGCTTTTCTAGGCTGGCTGGCAGCACCTCATCTGCCATAATCCTGATTCTTTTGCTTTTGATTCTCAGTGGGAACATGACATGACGATGTTACAATGTTGACAAACAAAGCTTGACAGTTGGCTGCAAAAGTTTCGAGAAGTTTCGTGTGCCACGTCTAGGTTACAAAACAAAAACACGAACTTCCAAGTGAAAAATCTAAACTATCCGATTTTCCTTCATTGTTATAAGGCTCTCAACGGGTTACTAAAATAATGATAATCAGATGTCTCAAGTAATTTTCACAATTAGTCCTGAATTCTTCGTTTTTATCAATAGCGATTGTAAGTGTCCTCAATATTGAACTTCCTCAGTGCGGATGATTTTATTCGATGATGCCTATTCTGGACTTCTTCCGCAGTTCCAAAATTTAACACTCTTATTCCAAGGTCAGTTAATAATCCACGAAAAAACAAAGGATAAATATAAACAGACAATTGCGCGCAACTGCCATTTTCCCATTATACATATTACACTGTACCAAACTGTACTAAATGCATACAGTGTGTGTTATGGACAAAACTGTACCAATCCACGAACAATCTGGATGAACCAAGATGATCAAGTGGTCGGTAAAAAAGAGCATTCCACAAATGGTACGAGGGATCGTCATGCTCTCCATATAAATTAGCCATCACTAAAATTAATAGAAATATAAAAATTATTCCGGCTACACATTGTAAGAAATTCAATAAGATTTTTCAGTGAATGGTGTAGCATTTATCGAGCTAAATCGTCATCTTTGGATTGGAAATAATTGGTGTGGATTGTGTGGAGTGTAGTGGGGCATTGCCTATGGTATTTGACACATATGTACCCTCTATGTATCGACGTACATAGACATATTTAATGGTTGATGCAGGAATGAATCGAGCAGCCATTTTTAAACTGCTTACCTGCTCTTAAGCCTCCCTCCTACTACAGTACTACAGAATAAGGGAGTGATAGAGAAAAGAAGAGAACATGGAGGATGAATTAAAAATTTTGACGATAACTTGATGGTCACTGAGTCACCAGCTGGCTGTGGATATGTGCTTGGAGCAGTATTGTGAAAAAAAATATATATACACATATATTTAATTATTTTTGAAGTAAAGAGTGTGGTTGAGAAGAGAGAGGAGAGGGAAGGGTGGTAGTTGGTAATAGAGGTAAACCAGTGTAAGAGGAGAAAGAGAAGAAGTTATAAAGGTGCATAGAAATAGAGAGAGAACGGGATATAAGGTTAAAGTGAGGAAGGGACGAGTGAAGATTTGATAAAATGACATGGTGAACTGTCAACCCCTGTTAATTCATTAATGCAATAAGATGAGGGCATAGGATATGATATTTTTCTAAACCTCAAAGTCGTTGATAATCGTGGACTGCTTGCGAGTCAAGTGTTAAAATTAATATTACCATTATAATAATTGACTGGAGTTAAAATGAAATAAAAGGTGTAAATAAAAAAAAGGCTATAGACGTATAGTTCGTACATCCATCAGAAAAAATCGACAAGGAAGAGGAGAAAGAGAGAAAAAATAATCACAGCGATGTGACTATTGATATGTAAAAGATAGAAGGACCAAAAGAAGACGGATATAAAGGGGGAGAATTCTGTAATGAATTTTTATTACGAATGTTGAGGATTTTATATCATTCAAGCGGTGGGTGGCTTGTTGAATAATGGCAGACAATGTGCACAGAAAAACGCACAAGACAACGGATGGCAGTAGAAAATTATCAACTCCAGTTAATCGTACAACATCTGAAACAATAAGGATTGGTGGTAATATCACTGATAATGATAAAAATCAAGTGGTGTTGGATCAGATGGGTCAGTTGGGTCAACACTGTATAACGTCGTCTGGTAATAATTTAATATCAACGCCAAATAATAACCAATGCAGAAAGAAAACATCATCATTTCAAATAACCAGTGTTACTGTTGGGAGTCGCATGAGTAATGACGCCGGTGAAGATTCAAATGATGATTTGGACGAATCACACGGTGAGGATAATTCTGTTGAACATTCAAGAATTGAAAATACTGATATTGAAACACCGAGCTACTCAGAGGATACATTCTCAAAGGACGATGTGTTTTTCAATGCAAGTAATGCTGCATTGAGTACAGCACCAGTTATACCAACATCCTCTCAATACGGTTTAGCTATTGTACCATCAGATCCAAGTGGTAATGTCAGTAATTCAAGCAATGACAGCAATATCAATGCACTTGAGTTGTCATCAGTTACTGACAACAATATCATTAATTTACTATCGAGTAATACTAAACAAGACACTGATGGTGTATCAATACGTGACGGTGTATCACATGGTAGGAATGAGAGATTCAAAGTTGTTAAAATTGAAAGTACAGAGCCCTTCAAACGAGGTAGATGGACTTGTATGGATTACCTAGATCATACATCTGTTAATAATCAAACCAATGCTATTAATACTGCTAAGACAACAGATCCTAATCAAGTGTGTATATCCTATGGTGTTAATGATGGAGTTGTATTGCCAACAAATGCTACGTCCGCCAATGATGATAAAACCATTGGGGTTGATATGAATGGTCATGTTGCGCATCAGGATATTCATGGTTCAATTGGCATTTCGAATAATCAAACCGGTGGTTATACTGTTACTAGTAATTCACTTCAATCACAGAATTGCCAGCGTAATCCAACAGCATCCGGTATTACATTATCACAACAGCCGTATTTCCATTCATCATCACCGCAGCAGCAGCAGCAGCAGCAGCAGCAGCAGCAGCAGCAGCAGCCACAGCAGCAACAACAGCCACAACAACAACCACAGCAGCAGCAGCAGCAACAGCAGCAGCAACAACAACAACAACAACAACAACAAGCAACTCAACAGCCTCCTCCACCATCCCAAGGTTCGACATTGCCCTCTAATTTACAACCAGCACATCCTAACAGTTTGGGACAGCCACAGAGTTTGCCACAGGGCTCTATTCCCCTTATAACGCAGACCAGCAACAACAATGTGACTTCTCAACAAAATATAAATCATCCCAAGGAAGAAAGCTATGTTAATGTTGCATCGCAAAATCAATCATTGCCAGGTCAAAATGTATGTCAATCCGGTGGAACAAATCCAACAAATATTATGGTACAGAATCAGGGACAGACACAATCTCCTAATCAGCCACAATCCCAATCGACTCAGCAACAGCACCAAATCAATGATCCGATAGCTGCAATTCAAAGAATTCAAGGAATACAAAAGATACATCAGGTTCCAGCGTCTGGTGGACAGCATGCTGCTAATACTGCACCACCACAACAACCAACACCAACGGCAACAGCTGCACCTGGAGCTGGAGCTACTGGCAATGCTAATAATGCTGGTGTTAATCCTCAAGCAACAGCCAATTGTCAAAATAATCTTGGGGCAATGAACTTTCATCAGGAGGGCGCAGAGCAGGACTCTGTGTCGGGTATAGCTGATGCTGCCTTGTTGGAATGTCTCGCTGAAGTAACACAATCAACTGATGACCATCAGACACTCGAAGAAAATGAAAGGTAACATTATATTCGGTTATTAAATAGAATGACTCTCTTGAGTTGACCCAGCTAAAAAAAGTAATATCTAATATGTGACCTATTCTGTTTGCAGTATGTCGGGAGCAGGTGCCGTTGCTATTGATAACAAAATAGAACAGGCAATGGTAAGATTATTCGGGGATTGCTTATCGATAAAACAGCCTGGGGCAATTATGAAATTATATATTTGTGTTATTTTTAGGACTTGGTGAAAAGTCATCTGATGTTTGCGGTTAGGGAGGAGGTGGAAGTATTGAAGGAAAAAATAGCTGAGCTTATGGATCGTATAAATCAGCTTGAGGCTGAAAACTCGATTCTGAAGGCGCACGCGACTTCTGAGACACTGGCGCAGTTGAATCAATTGTCAAATAAATTACCCCAAAGTAATTCAACAAGTGGTCAATAAGAGGAGTTATGTCAAATCAGATGGAAACAAAACATGAAAGAAAAAAAAAACATTGTAAATAAGTTTATATTAAATAATTAATCATAATAATGAATAATATAATCATTGTATATAACTTTACGATTTTTAGAAATTTATAAATAATGAGATTTATTATATTATTATACATATTAGTATTAGCAGAAAAATAAGTAAAAAAAAAGATGAAACATAAATTAAAGCCAGAGCTTTTTTTAATTTTTGTTTTTTTCACGTGAATCAATAATGGTACATTATTTTCTACGGTTTCAGTTTATTCCTATACGAGAACATATATTTATTACTTGTGAAGTCGGAACATTTTATTTACTAAGAAAAGACTTACAAAAAGCTGAAAATGAAGTGGATCAAGGAATTCGGTAATGAATGTCAACCAGCAACTTAAAATGGGGAGAAAAGAAATTTAATATGGAAATAATATTGAAACTTGTATTTCTGCATGAGACTTCCTTGAGTACTAAAAAATATGCCTATTCCGTCGAGAAGGGAAAATAATCTCTAAAAATATCCAGTGAGACGAGTAAGCAACAACACTGTCAGTCATTTTCTTTGAATTTATCACCAAAAATTCAGTTGTGAATCTCGAGCCACAATAATGACGTTATTCTATTAATTACAAGCTATTCTTAATACGGAAAAAATACATAATAGAGAGGAATTATACGCCATTTGTTTTTCCATTATTTCAATGTCTTCGGAAAATTTGATAAATTGCTGCGGTGTTTTTCCATTTGAGAACTGAAGTATTGACGTATCATATGCTTGGCCCGTTCCTGTAAAATGTCGCATTACAGGAAAAGAACATCCATTTTAAAAATCTACAAATTTTCAGTCTGCATCTTATTTTACATCTGATGATATACATGCCTAATAAATTTTGTTTTTCATTGTATCACGCGTTGAAATTTCATCACTGACCTGCTACCTACAAATCCATTAAAAAGGCTTGAGGATTTTGTAACACAGTACAAAAAAAAAAAGAAAATCATACTCTCGATCATTTGCCTGCATTTTTCCATTCTCAAGTTGTGGAATTTAGGGGATTGGGAGCACGTGATATTTCGTATTTCCATGAATTTTTTCGATGATCAAGTTTTTTTTACGGATACTATTATGATACATAATTTCGATATATATCTACGAAAGCATACATTGTTCATTCGTCTTTTGTCTTCGATCTTGTGTCTGCAATTAATATCAATTGATTTTCAATTCATTTGTTAAATTTAATTTTATTTATCCACGCTTTCATTTCGGGTACTATAAGAGCTAAATATGACACTTTAACACAAAAACCTTATTACAATTGAAGACCACTTCATTTAAAAAGAAAAAAAATCATAATTACACCATATAAATTTATAAATGTTATAAATTTGCTTTTTAAATATTTTTTTCATTTTGTTTTTGTTTTTTTTTTATGTAGGAAGGAAAAAGAAAAATAACAACATACAACTTTTCATTTCATTCCTTATGTATCAATTATGGATAAATCAGCAACCACCACGTGCATGCACGATCGGTCTCAAAGGGGGAGAGGGGAGGACTGAAAAGGGCCTGACGAGACATTATTCAATGATCATGGGGATGATAGGGAATCAAAGTTCGAGCATACACGTGTTAGTCAAGTTGACACTTCATACGAATCCAAAGTTCTTAGTTTTTATAGCAAGTAGTATCTTGTGACGAAGTACATGGCGTGAACTGTACAATGGAACGTAGAGACGTGAGATACACGTGTTTGCCGTTGGTAAATGCGCGTCGTCAGCTGGTCTAATAGTGACACTTGGCATAGGTTGGAACCCATCCTCGCTAGCAGGTAATGCTGGTGAGCCTGTCCAGAAGTAAACCTGAAACAATGTAAATCATACTTTTATTACCCTTCCTCACTTCATCTAACTCATTTACTCTCAACCCTTCACATCTATTTCATTGATTTATTTTTCATTCAATTTTTCCAACTATTCATTCACCTCAGCGAAATCTTTTAATTATAAAAATGGTTTTTCCTTCAATGGAGTCATTAGAGTCACTCAATGTCACACCTGATATGATCATTTTCTCGAGTAATATGGTTTTTGGGACTTGTGTGGCAAGTGATAAAGTTACATATCTATCTAAATTAAATAAATACGATGATTTATTCTGAGTAAAGATAAAAGGAAAGAAACAGGCGCGCCATGCGACGATATCATTGTCGGAATTCACACCGAATCAGGTGGGATTCCCTTGAAGTAATACAACTGAAGAAATAGAGCATAGAAGTAGGTGGTGGATGTAAAAGGTTGATGATGTTAAAAAGGAATTAGAGGTATTTGTATGAATAGATTACGATGATATTATGACTCACCAAGTCTTGACGCTCAAATTGGGTCATCTTCTCGACGATTGACCACAACCACCTCTTGAACTTAACGAGTCTCTCCATGGATTCTCCCGATTCATCATTGAAGGATGTATATGATATAAGGACCGATACATTAATATCCCCAACTCCATTCAGCAACAGCCTGAAGTCCTCAGACGTTAGGCCGTCAAGTGCACCTTCTGGTAATACATCGAATACACCCTCTCGCATAGCCTCAAGTGCTTTCTCCTGTGCTTTGATCATTCTCACTTCAGCATATCTTCGTACGTAATCGTAAACATTAGTGGCAGTAACCTCGATGTCACGGCCATTTGGTACAAGTTCAATAGAACCACCCCCTTCCTCGGGGCAAAGATCAATACTGAATGTAAGATCAAGAGTTGAGAATAGAATATTGCTGTCTTTAGTCTCAGCATCGATGACCAATTGCCGAAGACTCTCATAAATAACTGAATCGAAAAATGCCAAATCGTGAAAACGTATGGGCCTTGATAAAATATATTTAATAACATGACGATTTAGAAATATAGGGCACAATTCGTTCTGTAATAAACAAAGCCCTATAAGTCTTCCAACATTTCTGAATGCATTCAATCGTTCATAACTTGCTCGTCCCTGTCTCGGTGTATAAAAGCCACGTTTGCCAGGTGCATAAAATAATGGGGCGTTATCCTCAACGTCATCCAGTATTGTATTATCAACAATTTTTTTCTTATTATTACTAGCACATCGTTCAGTTAAACTAAAAACATCAAGATCTAACAGTGCCTCACTTGTGACATCTTGAATATGACTGTGTAACAATTCATAAGCCTCATCGACTTTCTGTTGTAATGCTTCCTCAGATGCTAGAAGCATCAGTAACTGCGCTGGCGTCAATTCCAATAGCATTCCAGTTATTTTTTCCGAGAAAGCTGGTCTCAATGCATGAACTTTTGGATATAATCGATCACCAAGGCTCTGCTGATGTGTCGTCAAATGTTCATTATTCGATAGATTATGATTACTGTGACTTCCACCAGCTGGCAGTGTATGATTACTTGATGAAGATCCACCAGTTGATGAAGCACTGGTACTGCTGCCACCACTACCGCTAGCACCATCAGCGAGTGTTGTTGAAGGATGGAATGATCGAGCCTCCGAAGATAACGCTCGTCTTGTCTCTCGGTATTTGGCCGATGCCCGTGGATTTTGACGTCTCAAATCACGATCGCGCTCTCGATTCTTCAATTTCTGCATTACATTGTACTGAGAGTACTTTGAGCCAACCTGGGCTGCTTCAAGATTCGGCAGTTTATCATTAGCAAGTAGAGCATTAGCAATAGCTGTGTAAAAGCTTCTAGCAACACCCGATCCCTCACCAGGTTCATCCTTGAACGTCACTTTTACTCGATTGACAGCCAGCGGTGGTGTATTTGAGGCCCTCCTGTTATAAAGATTATACTGGGTATTTAACTCTTTCATCGTCTGGACCAGCAGCTGAGTTCGATCACGCTCTATTTTCGAGAGAGTTATATCTTTCTGCTGGGAATTTCTCAACTTCTCCATGTCCCGACGAAATTTTGCTTCCTTAACTGGAAAGCCCCCTAATTCTGACACAACTGATCCAGCTTCAAGCCCCACGTCTTCCATAAAAACACGACCAAATAGATCCAATGACAATCTCCAACGTCCAAGGAGAATGTTGTGTGATATATTTGATCCAATCGTGCTAACTGTGTTGGCCGAGGCTCTTGTAGATTCAAGGGGACTCGTTTCCACAGTCTCGTGTGCTGATATCTCTTGACTAGTTGTCGCTGGATCCACTTCATCTGCATTATCATTCTGCGTCTCGGTCACAGGGACAACGAGAACTTCTGGTGCTTTTGTTTCTGCAGCAGCTCCAGCCCTCACTATCACACTCCTTCCAGCTTTCGAAAGATCTTTGCAATCATTCTTCACTTGCTTAGATGCCATATCACTTTGATTACCCGGTGATACAATAATTGGTGCTCTGTCAATTTGTTCATTTATCATAATTTGATTGTCATTGAGGGGATAATACAATTTCTGTTTATCTGATAGTGGAACTTGCCTGCTGCATCCTGGCTCACTGGTGGGACTTCTTCGTGGTATCTCTTGGCTATTAGCTGAGGCTGATGATGAAGCTATTGTACTGGCACTTGGAGCTTGAATTGATTGACTGTATGTCGATGAATTATCGGCAGTGCGCGTTGAGAGGCCTAATCTTGTTGGGAGCCCCTCCAATGGATTCTGACTTGTTCCTGAACCACCAGCAAGTGTTTGTCTAGGTACACCGAAGAGATCCTCTCGTCTCGAGTGGGGTTGTAATAAATGCGGTTGATCAGCCAAGGGTAGAGCCTCACTTATATTCGCTTCGAATGGATCCAAGGGCGGGCATCCCAAACACAGAGTTGAATCTGATCTCTGTAGGAATGGATGTTTTCTACCTCTTCCTGTACCGGAATTCATCGAATTGCCTGAACCACAAGTTGGCACTTGAAGTAAATCAGGGAAATCCACTGAATCAGTTTCCATTGCGTTGCTACCGTGAAGATTATCCTCATCCCCTTCTTCATTGTCATTTTCATCCTGAAAAAATGTGACGAGCAAAACAAATTATTGGTAAACGTATTAACACTTGGAGAACGAATGCTTTTAAGGAGGAATTAATAATGCAATAATGGAATGGAAAATGTGAGCATTGGAGTTTTTTTTCTCACATATCTCTTTATCAACCGATAAACAGTCCATAATTCAATCAATATACTCTGGAATTATTATTAGGGATGTAAAGAGAAACTTGGGCAATTAAAATATCAACGTACAAAGTCACTGACTAATCAACAAATAAATATTTTTTTTATAATAAAAATCATATTCCATTTTTATCTGATTTAATTTTGTTTGAACTTCATTTATTTATTTTTTAAATAAAAGATGAAATTCAAGATTTTCAATTTTGCTGTAGTTTCACTGGATATTGTGAGCAGAATCAATTTTTATCGACTGTTTTGTTAACGAGTACTTGGAATTCAATCTAAAAATTTTGAATTGTGGCTGGACTGTCCATTCAGTGCGAATCAACCAGCGCTGTCCTTTATTACATATCACATCGTCGTCTTAACAACAAATGCAATTTTCCCCCTTTTTTGTAAATAATAATAAAGTGGCGTATATTCCTTTCTCGTGGAATGACATTGGATAGCTCTGCAGAGTATTTTTGGACAACAATCTCGAACTGTGAGATAGTCGTAGAATTCGAGTGTCCCAATTTCTGTTTATCTTATTACTGAATTTTTCATGATTTATTATCATTCATTTTCAACATTTATTGATAAACTGATTGACAATTATTGTTTCTGTTATCAATAATATGTCAAGTTTCGCTAGAAATCTATACCATTCGTAAATCTACCTCAGCGTTCATCTTTTTTGTTATGATAATGTGAAAATGGCGAAAAAAATGGAAATACGTTTCTTTCACATTCTAAATTCGTCATTATCTCTGTTTGCACCTTTTCCACTTGCGATCTTTCCGTTAAAAAGTTATATGGAACGTACAAAAAACATGAATACGGAAGACACATTCCATTTTACAATTTTTATTAAAAAGAAGGGTTTTTTGTGGCTATGGTACGTTTTGCTGTTATAGGGATGGTATGTTAAATAGAAATAAAATAGTAATTGACCTGATCGTTCCACGTAGAATACGAATGTACAGTGGTTTCCTTCTGGTTGTCACAGCGGGATGTGCCCAAAGGTTCGTTGAGCGATCGCATGTAGTATACAAGGGCATCGAAGACATACGCAACGTGTCGAAGTGCTGACACATCCAGGACTGGTAGACTATCTCTGTGTTCTCCATTATGAGCTCGCATCAGGGACAAGCAGTAAGACAGGAACTCACGTCGGGCCCAGTGTGCATCGCCTCCTTAAGCAAATTTATTCATTCACTTAATCATTTCGTTCTACTCATTATACAAATAATAATAGTCGATCGATGATTAGGCATAACGTCAGAAATTGAAAGTATTTGAAGGTTGGCCAAAAGAGATTAATAAAATTTGTTGGAATAGGTGAATAACGTAAATACTCCGACGGTATTCCACGTTATCAACTCAACATTTAAGGTACTATATCAGCCCTTAAATTCTACGGATGGCGTACTATTTCTTTTATATTTATTCCTAAATTTATTGAGAAATTTCTAAAAAAAAATTCATGACGTTGATAATTATAACCGTTTCTCAATCACCGGCGTGACTCGTTTTTCCTTGGGTGACAATACCAAGCTCTAGGTTACACCCAGTAATGTTCTAATTTTTGATTGCAGCTAGAGGCGTCAAACGTTGAAAAGTATTCAATAACGCCATATAAAATCATTCATTGGTTTCCGTTGCATTTTGTTCAATTTCTAATGATTTGTTAACGTAACCACATTTCGAGGGTACAATAGCTCAAATTATAATTAATTATCTTTTTTAGATAAAATATTTTTCCTTACAGCATCGCCTTTGTTTCAGTTACTATATATTTTAAAGTACATTGAATATTACATGAGGATAATCATGACGAACTTCGAAATTTTTAATCTATAAATTAAGTCCTTTTTCACCATTTTATCTGGCCCCACCCTCATCTTAACTTGAACAAATCAATATGTGACAAATATCATGGATATGTGTTGAATAAAACTTCCGATAATACTCGTATTATATGGAATCTTCAATTACTCCTTTGATTTGTTTATTATTCTTAAAAAACGTTGAACTTTTACGTAGAAAACAGAGTTAGGAAAAGTAACTTGAGACTTATTGAAATACCGGTCCAGTCATAGGAATGAAAATGTAGGCTCGATGATTAGAAAATAAAAAGTCGATATGAATGACGGAAAATTATTGGAAACTAATGGTTTGTCATCAATTTCACGTGCAACAGTGGGATTTTACAGTAAATAGGTTTTACAGAATCCATAGAAATGTTTTAAAACGTAATTTTTCAAGGAATTTTACTTTTTATTCTGAAAATTTAGGAAACCACTGTCCTATATTCGTCTCACCATAGTTCCCAAAATACTCGCAATGGAATGTCGGAATTCTGTGGGCGCTGGCAAGAAATTAGTGGATGGCTTTGATACTTTTACTGTTTCATAAATTACAGAAGAATAACGCGATATTACAGTATACGCAAACTATTACGGTTACTCAATTTTTTAAATAAAATTTGTTGCCAATTTGATGAAATGAAAATTTGCGGGAACCAATGAGACAACAAAAATAAAGTTTCAACAATTCCCCGTAAAATTCAAGATTTTCACTTTCAAGGGTATTTATCATCAGGTTCTTACCCATATAAAATGACAATTTTTTCTCCGACAAAAACAAATTCCAATGGAAACGCAAGCATTTACCTCAGAAAACAGTTCATTGATTTATGCACAAAAATACTTGAATATTTCGAAAATATTTTCAAGCCGATTAATTTAATTTTGTAGTAAAGTGAGAGAACAAGCCAAGTTAACTCCTACCTCCATTAGGTGTTTCGAAAATAATAATAAATTTCATCCTAAAATCTTTCTTGTAGAGCTAATGAACAATTACGAAAAAGATTATTATTAATTAATTATCTCTCTGAGTGTCAGAGATATTTTCGAAAAACCCAAAGAAGAGCTGAGTTAATTTACCTCTTAACTCAAGAATCAAAAAATTTCTAAATAAAATGATTGAGTGTCCACGGAGAAAAAAGTATAAATACTTTTTTCATAAATCAAAAAGACAAAAAACAAAAATATGTGTACTTAACTCATAGGATATTTGGTTAATATATTTTTTTATAAGAATAGATCGAAGATAGAAGTTCGTTGGGATAGTTCTCCTCGTAAATTTGAATTTTCAATATCTAATACGTGAATTTAATTACTAATTTTCAAAACCAGACATCCATAGACTTCCTTCCAGATAATAAATAAAAGAATATGTTAAAAAAAGAAGAGCATACCTTCACGCTCTCTGGCGTTCCTAGGAGCTTCACCGACTCCCGTAAAGCCCACGGAGAGCCTCGTTGAGCCTTGAGTCGGTGTCATATTGGAAGCGGAAGTTATCCCACTGCGGTGGTTTCGACCTGTATTTCCCTGTAATGTTAGTGACAGAGCCGCAGAGTTGAGTAACCCATTAAAGTTACCACCTGAGACTGATGATGCATTATTGAGTGGATGTTCTGGATGAGTTGGATCAGCGCTCTGAGTCAGGGATACACCAAAACGTAATTGAGCTTCAGTCGCGTCCATCACCACCATTAACCAGTCCCAAGTTGGTTTCAAATGCCCTTCAAGATACATCTGCAAAAACCCAAATTAAATTCAAATTTGCATTGCACGTCGAACTATTTTCTAATCTAATCTAAAGTTTTTTTTTCATTTCTATTGCAATCATCATTCAGTGATTGAGGGAAAATATTTTCTGAAATATTTTCTGAAAACACCTCACGTCGGAACAATAATTTCACATAATTTACATCATCAATTACGGTTTAAAAATTTTCAGCAATTTTTCAAAATGCTAATTTTTTTCATCCTAAAGAAAGTTTCTATGATTTTTTCACATAAAAAAAAATATTGCAGTGGCCTCTATTTTCAAATGAATTGAGTTTAATGAAGCGAAAAATAGTGCTTTCGTAATGAATTATAATGGAATGCGTAACTTGACAATGGATTTCATAAATCCAAAATTCATAGTTGTGAAATCAGTTTTGTTATTTACAGTGAGAATTTTTTGTAATAAAATCTAATATTTTTGGTTCGAGAATATCAATTTTCGCGTGAGATACCATCTTTTTATGACTGGGATGTCACTTTCGATCGTTATTTTAACGGCTAATTATCAGACATATCCCTTTGGAAATGCCCCTCGTGCATTACTACATTGAATTAATGACAGTATGGCAATTAGTGTTAAAGCAAGAGTGAACACAGGATGTTTTACCCTTCTCGTGCTGCAGCATACATGATAAATTGAGTGGAATGTTTCAAAGAAATTCTATAAAATACATATGCGTTATATTTTATATCAAAAGCTAACTCTTCAAGATATTTTCGTATAAACCCAATATTTTTTTCAACTACTTATTACTTACGCCCATGGATAAAACTGTAAAACAATTCAAGTAGATTTGGCCCTTCGAAATTTTCTAGAGATATCTAAGAAATCTAAGAAAAATGGCAAACTTGAGATATTGATTAGGATATCTGCAACTAAAAATAAATAAATTCAGATACGATGGACTTAAACTATTTTACCTCTTTACTAGTGAAAGTCCTTCCATCGTCCAAAAAAAAAAGTAAAAAAAACCTGCCAGCGCTGTGATTAATTACGAGAGGAAATAGATACGATAGCAATATGAAAAAAGGAGATTATTTGTTGGAATATATAACGATACCTGTAAACTCGCAGCATCTTGATATGTAACTTCCATGAGTCTGGGCAAAGCAGGTGCATTCATTTTGTAATTGGATATCATAGTTAACAGATCAGCAATCATTCTGATGACAATTCCAAAAGCTCTAGCGAGGCAACTGGCTGTTGTTCCCATAGTGATTGGTTCCTGTGCAGCAGCAACAGCTGATGTGGCAGTTGACCGTCTCAACGAGGAAGGATCTATAAAAATCATGTTGCTCCCACCAGTGACTCTGAGTCCAGCAGTACGTGGATTCAACTCGCGATTTCGGATTGCCCATTGCATAGACACTGGAGCTAGATTATTTCGATGTAAATGCCCCGACGATCCACTCCTTCTCTCGAGCTGTTCATCACCTATTGGAAATTCCTCTGTATCCTGTTCATCAGTTTCACCAGCTTCACTCTCATCATCCTCCTGCTGGCTCGATTCACCTGATTCATCCTCTGGGAACAGCAGAATTGATCCCATACCACCATCAGACCCAGCTGTTGCACCAGTTTGAACGCTTCTCTGTGCAGAGGCAGCATCCTGATTGCTGTGATTATCATCAGAATCGGATTCAGTTTCAGCTTCAGCGAGAAGATCTAGCTCAGTGTCTGATTCACTTCCAGCAATACCACCAACGCGTTCAACGCGTCCAATACCATTCCTGTCAACTTCACCAAGTGTCACCTGATTGGGTGGTACTTCGTGCTCACTTATATCACCATCAAGATCCATAGGCTCACCACCATCTCGGCTCCCATCAATGACAACTCCACTGGGACCCTCAGATCCTTCATCCATAACAGCACGATCTCCAACATTATTATTAGCAACTACATTAGCTTGAACATGAGTTGCATCGAGTGTTGTATCCAGGGTTTGTGCACTATGGGGTATGAGTGGTTCAATTGAGAATAATTCTTCCGAGCCATTTATCACTTCAATAGCAGAACTGGTGAGTGTAAAGGGTGCTGTGGGCCGTGCAACACCCAGTCTCACTGGTGCAATCAAAGAGTCAGCAGTTTCACAGAGCTCTTCAACAGCTAATTTTATTAGAGCCCTGAAAACCCTACGGCATTTAATTAGAGGTGGAGTGGCTTGGGTTGCACTCCTGCGATTCTTTGTAGTGTTTGGTGCCATTTCAATAGTGAATATCACAAAAATTCTTGCAACAGAGCGTACGAATCTACGTGCTACGATATTAGCTTCCTCCTGTCGTCCCGGAATCGAATCATTCTCCAACTCTCGTATCAGTGTTGTTAATAACGTGTCTAGCATTTCAGATGTACTTTTCACTAAAAGTGTATGAGTAAATTTGTCGAGGAGAGCAGTGCCACTTTGGCGTGATGCCGATGAGAATGCACCATCACCAAATAATTGATCTTGCTGAGAGTTATCAGATACACCAGACATGATCATGCATTGAACAGCAGGCCAATCATTCAGCAGTCTCTCCAGAGCTTTTCTACTGAATCTCGGTGGCTCTAAATCATGATCTGGCATCTCTGAGTCAGCTCCACCCAGGCCATCAGATGATGGTGTTTTTCTGCTGGCTGATGTTGAACGCTGTCTAGGGGCTGAACGAAATTGCCTCTGTTCAACTGATTGTCTTCCAACTGTTTGAACGAGAAACAGAAGAATACTTTCACCACGTGAATTAATCTTGGTAGCGAGATCTGTACTTGTGACAAGTCGACAGAGAAGATCATAACGTGCCCCTTGATGTCCAGCAATAAGTGCTTTGCATTTACACTTTTCCCAGCAATCACAATAGGCCGTTGGTGATGTTTTCTTCAATTTGCAGTCATGACCACGATGACAGACACGTGCACACTCAGTGCAACAGCACAGTGAACCGGTTAATCCACACGTACGACACTCAAAAATATCTTGATTTATGTGATCAGCGCCTGTCCAAGTGAAGGAACACGTGTCGTTGCAGCAGGTGACAAACAGTGGAGAAAGATCTGGACTTGCGTCTGATGGGAGAATCATGGATGAACATTCCTTTGAATCTTTGCTGGCTCTTTGGATTGTATCGAGGATTATTAAAGCTGCATGATAAGCACGAACAGACACAGCTAGCATCAGTGGCGTCTGACCTTGAGCATCTTTACCAGTCAATAGTTCTTTGATGTGTGGAGCTAAAACTGGGCTCTCACACAAGTATTTCAGAATGAACAGAGCATTATTTCTGCGTTCGGTGGAGTCTGTGATGTAACTGTTGTTTGCATTATTTGCATTGTTGGGATTATTAGTATTATTGGGACTGGAACCAGTTGGCCCCGAATTTCCTACCGTTGATTTGTTCATCATGGAAATACTCGCTGCACCAATACTCAACAGACTGTCCTCTTCGCCTGAAGTATTGTCCAATTCTGGTGGCCAACTCAGTGGTGGTATTGGCTCCTCGATTGGAGTTGAATTACCATCAACTTGACAAGTTGTAACTAATTCCCTTGCTACACCACCACTACCACCGACTCCACCACCTCCATTATTTGTTGTATCATTATCCTTGTTAGATGAGGGTGAACACATGCTTACGCAGGCAAGGAGAATGTTCCTGTTGCCATCACACCGTTCCTGAAGAATAGCTTGAATTTGATTTTGTATAGAATTATTTTTGTGCTGTTGTTCGTGTTCAAGTGTCGTGAGAACTTGCTTCACTCCGTCATAATCGCATCTAAGAATCTTTGGCATAAGCAACAGATTGTCAAAGACCAGTGCAATAACAGCTACTTGACTCTTGAGATTATTTGAATTACTTGGCATAGTTGAGCAACTGGGAATCGGAATGGTTGATGCACCGATGCATGTAACTGGTACGAGATCCAACCAATTTGGATCGCGAATTGCATCAGCACAGTCCTTAGCAATTGGATAGATTGTGTTATTACCATCTCGCAAGAGCATTGAACAGTCGGAATTTTCACCTGCACTCGTTAAGCTGATATTCAGCGAGTCAAGCCCCATGAATGAAGAAATTTCAGACGGTAAATAGCAGTCCTGTACGTATCTTCCAGTGCTGAGATTATATACGACATAACTCAGTTTATTGTTGCTGTTCTTGAGAATAGCATGAATGCCTTGACCATCAGTGGAAACAGTTAGGAGACTCTCAGTTGTACCATCAGCAATATTGACCCTTCGTGGTGTTCGTTGGAAACAATCAGGGGCCCTAGAATTAACCGATGATTTAACCACTTGAAGCTCATCCTTTCTCAGCAATCGAAAATCATCGAGCAGCTTTATCAATTCTTCAGCAGTCAAATCCTTGATATCGGAGGACACAGTATTTGCATAATCCTTCTCTCTCGTTAGATCTTTATCCTTTTCTTTGCCCTCCCTGGAATCCTTAGCAAAGAATTTAACAGCGACGTAGCAGCCATCGACTTTGATAACTTTTCCAATGGGCACTGTTTTCACATCTTCAACGAAGACAACATCCTTGAGGTGCCAATCTTCCTCATCTTTTCTCTCGGTCTCTGTGTCATCGTGAGTTCTCGGTGTCATTCGTTTCTGTCTTTTATGACTACCTGGTGCTGATGTTACGATACTTCCAGTATCACTGCAGGTGCTTGATGCAGGTGACGGTGGTGGCGGCATATCAATTCTATCGGCAGTCTCTTTGTAGTTTTTATTATTACTACCTGAGTTGGCGCTACAATTATTCTGATTAGGATTGTTGATACTGCTTGTACCGCTACCAGCAGCTGTATTTATTGTTACTGTTGTAGTTGTCGGTGTAGAAGTGGCGTTGTTCGCCATATCTGAGCGTTTTTCGATGTTTGATGGTAAAGCTGGCAGAATTTTGAATCGGCACGTTGAGTCTAAATTCCACGCTGCTGTCAGAAGTTGTCCAACTTTGGGTACACCATTGGCAATAGTAAATCCAATCGCACCTGGCTGATAAATCGGACTATTCTTCATGCAAACATATGTACCATAAGTGATGTCAGCAGCAGCAGCAGCAACTGCTGCTGAAACAACGCTCGATGATGATGAGGATGGTCGATGCTTTCGTGACTTAGCTTTATACTTTTCCCACAATTTTTTGCGCTGAGCAAATGGCAATACACCCCACCAGTACAATGTACCACTCTCCAATTTAGCGACAGTATATAGTGCACAGGTGTGTAGAGATACTATTCTATCGAGTGTAAATTCCGTAAATGCTTGTGCTGGATGCTCCAAACGCGATGAAACATGCCCAAGCAGTTCATCCAACCAGGTTGCTACTTTACCGCTCTCAGTGCTCACTGAGCAACGTATAGCTGTTGCTGATATATTGACTATTTTTTCACCAGTCAGACCGAGAGACGATGTCTTTGGATGATGAACATTTGGATTATCAAGATTTCTGTATGGCTCAGAATCAGCCCATCTCCATTGATAAAGTTGGCCAGTTGATGATATAGCAATGAGCTCACTGTAGAGTGCAGCAATCTGTACGAATTTTGGTGCTGGCTCACTGCTACGTTCGTGCCACCATTCGAGCTCCTCTGAAATCCAAAGTGGACTCTGGGAGGCTAGTTCTTTTTTCTTGTTCTCTGGATCTTTCTCCCAGCAGTCCTTGAGAGCTGTTTCCAGCCATCTGCGTGGCCCATAGTATTGACGATCACGCCATCTACTGAAACTGTCTCGTTCACGATCACGCTCTCCAGATCCCCTCTCGACAGGGCCATCTCGCTCCATTCCAAGACGTCTCGATGAATTGCCACGACTCCTCATCACTCCATATCCAAAAACATCCTCGGAGAACATTGAATCGGCATCAATGATCACTGAGTGCTCATTACTAAAACCACCATCCAACAGTGATATCAAATCCTCCGGCACGTAGCTGTCAGCTGCATCCTCAGCATCGTCACCCTCCTCATCATCACGTGATAATAAATTGTTAACAGCAAGATTGACATCGAGGTTGGTGCGTTGCAATTCACGGATTATTAGATTACGACTCTTTCCCTGGAGCACAACTTGGGCTTGTGATATTAAATCCTCAGGGACAAATGGCGCTGGTACTGATACTATTGGTCTTGAACTGTTGCCACTACCACCACCACTGTTACCACCCCCTGTACTTGTACCACCGCCCATGATTACACCAGGTGGTCCAATTCTTCCACTTGAACCGCTACCACCAGCACTTCCACCACGAATTGCCGAACTGCTACGCATTATTCGCGCGCGAGATCGTGATAAACTTGTTCTACTCCCATTGCCACCACCTCCACTACCACCACCTCCTCCACCTCCACCTCCAGACCCACTAGGCCCAGAGTTCGAACTTCCAACGCCATGACCCTTTCCAGAACTGAAAATTAAATGTCGATTTCCTTGTCAATATTTGTCTCAACACAACTCAATTCATTCATTTGAAAAAAATATTCAAATGTTCACCACCAATAAATTCCGAATTCACTGAACTTATTCAATAACTATACGAATATTTCTATATAAATATCCATTGGCCTATTCAAATAGTAGAATTGAAAACGATCATACAATTCGAAAAATTTCACTGAAAATCGGAAATTATTGAAATAATTTGACTATCCATCAATAAATAAACCTAATTTTAATTGACCAAGTCTTAAGCATTCATCACGACACAAGCACATTAACATTACGAATATGAATAAGATTATGAAAATAAATCAAAACATGTCAGTCGGAGGAAAGAAAATAAATTTAATTGCATAGTTCAGTGGTACAGAGTGACAAGTCAATTTAGCTAATCGGTAGATTTTCAATGAATGTCTCAATATCGAGGAGAGATATCAAAATTTTTATCATTACTTTTCTTGTAGTTCTTATGGTGTTCTACAAAGAAGTCGACTTGTTATCCTTTACCACTTCACTGATGATTATTGCATGCATTTCCACGAACTATTCAATTAAAAAAAACTTACTTTCTGTTGGGTTCATTTTTACTAAGATCGAGACGATCTGATAGAACGGTGTAAGCAACACGACAAATTCTATTGTCGTCCATCAGTAGTGCTATATGAGATGGTCCAACCACAATACGTCTAACGGATGTTTTGAGTCCGCTAAACGCTGGTGGTGTAACATAGCCATATCTGTTGATTTTATCCGCCACTTCTTTGAGTCTGAAAAATAATTCACCTCATTATTATTTTGATAATTGATCAACTTTGATGCACCACCCATGCATTATCATCTTCATTAAAATGGAAACTGCGTTCTGATGAAAATTCAAAGCGAGCAGCCATGTGCTTGATTGCATCAACTCGTATATAGATTCCATAACCAAGCTCTCATGGTTTTACCCACGACACCTATAGATATATATATATGCGACCCATTACAAGAAAACCCATTTTGGCAAATCGGAAAAGTGCACTTGGATGACACTGACATGTCCCATTTTTTGAGTAAAATACAAAATATGTTTTTATGAAAAATCAAAAGAAACTTGTAAACGAAAAAAAAAGTAGATATTCGAGAAGCTACAATCTACAGAGTGGATTTTCCTCGTGCGTGCTTATATACACCTCGATGAATATATATCAATATAAGTATGAAATAATTCGTTAATTATGTATATTTCTAGTATAGAACGTGAATATACAATAGAAAATGCAAGTAATTGATAATAAAATTGAAAATCACCAAAATGTAGGATAAACTCATGTGAAAATATGATAATTGAAGAAAATCCGATGACTCCACCCAAAAGTGGAATGATTCCGAAAACTGCCAAGATACGATGATGAGAATAAGTAAAAAAAGAACATGAGGTTCAGTAAATGAACATGAGCGAAAAGTGAACGAATAATAGGGGTCATCCAATCACCTCTGAATGGCTGGAAATTAACAAATGATAACCAAAAAAAAAACTCATTGTAAATATACTGATGCAAATAAGGATGGACATCATTATCATCTGTTCCAATATATGTAATGAAAAAAATGCTCCATGGTGGATGGATGTAATGTGAAAATGATGATCGAAGTGACTGATATAAGATATAATTGAAGAGTGAATAGAAGTGATTTGAGGCTTGATAAATGTTAGAATGGGAAGGAATAATGGGTATGGAGCTGAGGGAATGGAGAAATATGTTGGTTGAGCGATGAAAAAAAAAAGGGATGCTCACACCATTGCGCCCGTGATACCCGACGATTAGAGGAGCCATATTCTATTGTGTGCGAAAATATCTTACCTATCATTGAGCTGATCGTCAGTGCCTGGCAGCGGATGCACGACAAAATGTATCGAGCTCATTTCAAAACACTTGATCAACTGTAATATTTATAAATTTTTATAATTTAATCAACCCTTACGCAAAATTTCATTACAACATCGAACTGATACTCAGTCATGTTTCACGAGAACTATCTAGTTTTGCGTTCTGAAGTGCCAAAAATGGCGGATATTCATCGTCATTTATAAACGTGCGTTCCTAAACTCAATCGATAGTGCGCATGCGCACTTTATTTAACAGCCAATTATCAGTTCTACCAATACTCGTTGTTCCAAATTATTTAGCTACAGTTTGTGCCTCAATACTATACTATAGATTTAGTTATGGTTAATGCAAAAATTCGGTAAAAATTTGCAAATTCAAAAGTACGAAAATTTCACTTAAATTCACGTACATTTCCTGCTTTAATGCTTTTTTGAAGATGACAGGAAGAGAAGAGGAGCACATGGAAACTGGCATGAAAAAAACAAAATCAAGTCCAAGATAACATCAAGAGATGGCACTCATAATTTATGAAAAATGCGCACCTAAACATTTTGAAATTTGTCCTTTATTGTTTCACATTTAAGTGTCTTTATTTATTTATCTACATTATTATTCCTTTTCAAACTGATTAAAATTATTAGGGGAATTTGCAAAATTCAATCGCAAGAATATCTTGATGATTGTCAGATTATCATTCATTCCATCTAATTTATTCTGCGAGTTATTTTTGGCGAAACTATTTCGTAGTCAAAATAATAAGAAAATAATTGCAAGTAGTGGAAGGAAACATTAAACTTATACCTCTTTCACGGATTTCTGCGAAATATCCCCGAAACAAAGAGATATAATCCTAGTTCTGCTTGAATCATCTTTGTAAATGTAATTGAAAGCTCAAAAAAAGTAATTACAAAAATTTCTGAAAAACTCACTGAAGAACTAACTTATTTCCTTTCGTGTCTTGAAATCAGAGTATGACATGAAAATACCGAATACACTATTTTTAGTTGATGTGTGGATGCTTGTAAATCAAAATTTGAATTCCATTTTCTTTTGTTAATGGAAAAAGAAAAAATGCAAATTGCAAATGCAATGTTGCCATCTATTAGGGGATGATGAAACTCTGAAAACTGAATCGTTTCTCCTAAAGAGAGAGAGAGAGGAAGAGAAAACGAGAAGCAAATGCTCATGAATTGGAAGAAGAAAGAAAATTCGTCCTAACCTCTTCCTATGTTTTTTTTTACTTCCAAATGGAAGAATCACAATTTTTCACCGAAAATAAAAATAATAATAACTAGAGAAATGCTGTAGCCTTACGAAAAGTTCGCCTAGATTAGTCAATAATCTTATAATCTTATACTTACTCACTCCACTTATCAAGTTTTTCTGGAATGTTTACAAACTGTTATATACTCCTTTGTGTTTTTCCATCCCAGCAGTAATTGAAAATAAATGGAATACAGAAGACTGCACTAATCGAATTTCACAGGGGTTTATGTGAACTAACTGTTGAGAATTCAGCAATGTCAGTAAATCACTAAGAATTAATATAATACTGTACCTTTTGAGTTACAATTTAACATTCTAATGACTGATATTTTTCCAGATTTGTATATCAATTTACTATGGAAGATTAAATTTATTGCGAAAAATATTTACAATATTGTAGCTTTGTTTTACTGATGAGATATATACGCAGAAATGGCAAATCCGGGCGGCTTCTTTGCCCATCTTGTTAAATTTATCATCACGATAATATGCATGGGATATTTTGATGACAAATCGTCTGGCCTTACTCAAAGAGCTTTTCAGATTTATTTGGTCCATTCAATTCTCGGCATGTTCCGATTTGGTAAGACAGTTCATTATTACTAAATTAAAATTATTTTTTATTTCTCTCTTTCTCCGGTCTCTACAATTTCTATCATCATAAATCTGTTTTTTATTTCATATAATTGCACCCTTGGAATCGTTTTTCTATACAGAACGTGAATATATTGTAAAATTATAACTTCATATTATAAATTTTGTAGAATTTAAATTCTCTATAAAAGTAAAAGGGCCAATTCAAAAGCTTTGTTTATTTACAATACTGATTTTCACGCTCCTATACTATAGTTATAATTTCATAATATTGAAAATAAGAGGACAATATAATTTTTAATTGCAAAGAATTTGCGAGAGAAGTGTTAATTTAGGACGATAATTTAAATTTCTGTCACGAAGTTTATAAAGTTATAAGACGTATATTATAAAATTATTATTTCAAAGAATTAGCTTAGAATTGTTGAATAACAGTCGAACATTTTCAGGAAGCACTGGAGGCCTAATAGCTAAACGTGGATTTCGAGATTTTTATGAACGCACATCCAATATTTCAGAAATCATCCCCTTCGGTATATTTGCATCGGAAATATCACGACGCTGTGGAATCGATGACATTCTTCGGCAATCTCTTCTTCTGGTCCTTACACTTTTACCAATTGTCCATGAAATTGTTCCGAGAAAGGAAAGATCGAAAATGCGTACACTCATTAATCACTCGATCAATCTTCAATTGTTGATTATCACAATTGCCTGCCTCCAAAGAAGTAATTGGTATATTATAAATTTAATAATATCATACATATTTAATCGATATTATGCGGAAAACTTCTGTGACTGGTTCGACGTGCCATACGATGTCCTTATACAGTACAGCCTTAGCTTTGTCCAAGTTTTTGCATTGACCGCACTGAATGAATTGTAATATATTTGCAGAAAGATTAACTGTATCTTCCAGCTTCAGAGCTCAAATATATAATACAGATTTTTTTAATCTGATATTTTTATTTATCAAAAATCAAGCACAAAAATATGTTGTGGGAAATCATATTGAATTCTATTGATTTCCTATCTATATCAGTAGCTCAAAATTTTCCACTTTTCTTTCATTCTCGTGAGGACAGAAAATATTGAATAAGTTACATGCGAACATCTCATTCTATAGATCTTTTCGATTGAATATTTTCTATAGGCGATTTCATTGAATCAGCAACAAACAAATAGAACCTAGTTGATTTGTTCCTAATCAATTTCTACAGAAAATAATTACCTTTTAATTATCATTATATTATTTTTCGCTCCTGTTCTTCCAATTCTCTGATTTTTCCACCTTTTTTTATTCCCACAGCATTCCTTCTACAGATGTTTTTGTTCAAAATTTTGTATTCCTAACATTCCATTAACATTTTCCTACATCTTCTAAAAAATTTCGTGTTGCGATTGCTAGGTGATTATTAAAGAAAAAAGTAACCGAACTATTTTGAAAGTAAAAAAAAACATCTAAAAGAATTGTAAGCAGAAGTGAAAATTCAAAAGCCACGAGTCTTTCTTCCGATTGGTCAAGAAAAATTCAAGATGGCATCAAGATAATTTGCAGTGAAAAATCGCCTTAAAGCGGCATACCATTCTAAAGGCAAATAGAAAAGAAGTTGAGCGTTTGCTCGGTAACATTACATATTGTATTTATCGTTATTCCACTGAGAATAATCACCGGACGTGTTGACAGGTAGGACATGAATTACTATTCTCGAGATCGATAAAACTTTATGCATTATTTTCCATTAAATTCGGTCACCGTTCCGGGATAATAACCCCAACGGATTTCACTGGAATCGAATATTGCCATAAAATATTTCAACTTTACATTTTGGAGTATTCAACTATCGATAGAGAAAATGGCATACGCTGTCCGGAGTATTAATATCTGAAATAAAATGCTTTGCATTTTTGACGGATATTTTTGAGAAATCCAGGGGGTAAATTGATACGGGACACAAACCAATTCGGAGGAACCGTTAGCTTCAGTCTTCATTCCATCGTTTTCATGTGAATGTGTGGGTGACTCACACCAATTCTCTTTATTTTACCTCCCCAACTCGGAAGAACCAACCCCATAATTTTCTCGCTGCTCACTATTTTTTTCACCTCCATTTGGTGAGTGGATATTATCAATTAAATTAATCAACCATTGAGTTTTTAAGGGTCGTCCATGAATCCCTTGAATATTTAAAAGCGGTTTTATAAATGGACAGGAAAAATGTTTAACTTCCACCATCTCTAATGGACTAAACTAAATCAACAAATAACTCCAGAGTTAGTGACATGATATGGGACTATTTTTTTCAAATTCGTTTAACTTTTATTGTTTCGCCTCTTGGCCAGCTCCTACTCTATATAACGGCGAATTCCTCTCACGTTCTAGTTAACCTAGCAACCGGATTTTTTTTGCATTCCATATTCTCGACATTACGTGGGATTTCAAATGCAGAATGGATTGGGTTTTATACACATGTCTGCTCAACTGGTTTCTAAATTTATTCAAACATTTTTGTATTTTTTATTTTTTTTCTCATGTGATGTTTTTCTTTTTCAAGCTAATAAGAACAAATCTCCAACGAAAAATGGCGGTCAATGTTTACGCTACAAATGTAACAACGGACAATCTAAGTCGTCATGATATGCTGGCGTGGGTCAATGACTGTCTACAATCATCCTTCTCGAAAATTGAAGAGTTATGCACGGGTGCGGCGTACTGCCAATTTATGGACATGCTCTTTCCCAACAGTGTACCATTGAAGAGAGTCAAATTCAGGACCAATTTGGAGCACGAGTACATCCAAAATTTCAAAATTCTCCAAGGTGGATTCAAAAAGATGAATGTCGATAAGGTAAAACTACCTTGGCCTATCATTTATTGTAATCATTAGAAATTAATCGTGGAGGTTCACAGAATTGATTTCCCCGTTAAAAAGTTCCTAGAATATTTTTCTCGTGTTCCCCTGAAAACTTTGTCTCAAACTTCAAATGAAAAATTATTAAATTCGATGTCAATACCCTTTTATTCAATGTCTCATCAATTCCTCTCTGAATATAATAAATGTATTCGGATTCGTTAGGTTTTACTAACGTTGTTATCACCGTATGTACATCTGATCGAATGAAAAATCATATATCTTTCACTTTCCAATCCTTTCAATATTAATTTTAACAGGCTATTCCGGAATTATTTGAATAATTTAGAATATCAACAATTTATATGAAGAATTTTCATATTTTCTGTTTTGAAGGACGAGAAAAAATGATTCATTTAACATTTTTTGGAAAGAAGATTTTTAAAGAAGGTGACACATGAGTTTAACTCACAGAGAATAATAAACGTCGCGTGAAAACACTGTAGAGGAAATTATATCCGGGAAAAAATTAGTAACAGGAAAAATTGACGGGGAAATAAAAAACAGATAAAAATCGTGGAATATTTGTGTATCGATGTGATTCCTATGTCCGTATTGAACGAAAAACAAAAAAAAATGGTTCAGGTGATTCCAGTGGACAGATTGATAAAAGGCCGTTTCCAGGACAACTTTGAGTTTTTACAATGGTTCAAGAAATTTTTTGATGCCAATTATGATGGCACTGAATACGATGCATTTGAAGCACGTGGAAGAATTCCATTAGGTTCAGGAGTGGATGGTTGTCATAATTTGTCCAATCCACAATTGGTACCATTGACTACTCAAGCAAAACCACCTCAGATGCTGCCGAGAGCTCCGATGCATCACAATCAACAGCGGAACATTGCGCAGAGGCAGCAGGGTAGATCAACATGTGGATTAAAATGTCATTTTATTGTTTGTTGCATGATTGGTTTCCGTTGTCTCAGTTTTCATTCATTATTTTCACTAGCAGTCACCTAGAAAATTTATCTATTGCCAGCCACCATCACACGACCACGCGAGGACCACCACTTGTCTTTTCTTATACAATTTGTTCACACGATCAACATTATTTTTTTATTTAATTGACACTTTACGTATGAAAGAAATTCAAAAGAGAACCTTGATTAATTCGCTGAGGAATTCATTCTCTCTGTCAGTTTTTTCTTTTTATTTCTATTTATGTTTCTGCAATGAAAAGTATTTCATACGCAAAAAATTAATCCATGTGGATTTTCTTATGTCTGTTATTCTTTTCATATTATTCAAACAGAAATTTTTGGTACTAATTTTGTCAAATGGTTCCAGCATTTTCTGTAAAAAAAAATTGAAAAGAATAGGTTTTATCTAAAAATGACAATTCTTCAAAACAAAGAACTCGTTAAAAAATTGCAGAATTAATATCAAACGAATAAAGTCAATATACAATTCTGCCTTTTTTGATGAATATTTTTTTGACATTATTTCATGCTTTGTTTTCATTTTTGTTTGCACATTTTCGTTTTTTTGCCGTAAATTGCAGATCGTGCCAATTGATAGGCTCACGAAAGGTCGTTTCCAAGACAACTTTGAGTTCTTACAATGGTTCAAAAAATTCTTCGATGCTAACTACTCCGGTAACGAGGCCTATGATGCTCTAGCGATGCGTGGCGGTGAACCCATGGGTAGCGGTGGTAATAATGCACCAAGAGGTAGCGGGTTGGCCAAACGTGCATCACCACGCGATGCACCAACCACCAAACCATTAGCACGTACCGGTACTAAATTATTCACTTTTTCATTCCGCCACAATAATAAGAAACCATATAATACTATTGAGCAATCACAGTCTCATAATCCTCAAGTGTATTATACAATTTATGTCGACATGTAAAACGGCTGATCATTGATAGGATGGGCGGTTATTCATCTCCCCGTGAGCAGGATACTATCATTCAGTTCACATTTCAATGCACTTTTTCTTTATTTTCTGTCATCACGTTATTCAGTGGCCTAAAGGGGTGCCATTCTTCTGGGAATGATACCTCTTTTTCTTGGTTTTTCTTTATTTGGATGCAAGCTTTAGAGAATTATATACTAGTAATTGAGAGGAATGTCAGCTGTTTGTATTGCTTCAACGAAATTTATTTTTTCAGTTCATCTTCTTGCTTCACAAGATTATACACTGAAAAAATTTGTCGATTATATTTTAAAATGCAGAGATAGGTGTGTGAGAAAATGTGTAGTACATATAGCTGATAGCTCCTCCCTTGAGAAATGATATTGGTTCAAATACGTTTCAATTTTCAGTTCCAAATAAAATTCAGCAAACTCGTCCCGTGGTCAAGACAGGGCCAATGGGAAATCGTGATACTGGAAAGGTCGAGGAACTCAGTAATGAGGTAATTATCAAAGTAACAAAATTTTAAAAGCATTTTATAAGGTATCATTTTCTTAGCAGCATAGATGTGCAAGTGCTAAAATTTTCTTTATTTTAATGTAAAAGTCTATAAGTTTTCATACTTATGACTTCTTGACGTTTAATGCAATTAATTAATTCTTAGGGGAATATATAAAATGCCTTTTTTACGCGTCTCTGTTGTTCAAGCAATAATGGTTCAATCAACATCAAAATAACGGAAACATAAATTTGAATTATTATATGCTTTCAGATCACTGAACTCAAACTGATGATTGATGGTCTGGAGAAAGAGCGAGACTTCTATTTCGGTAAACTTCGGGACATCGAATTGATGTGCCAGGACACTGAAGATGATCAGCCTCCGATCGTTAAAAAAATTTTGGATGTCCTTTACGCAACAGAGGTTGGGAAATCTTTTTTAAAATCTTCCATTGTTGATTTCAGTGGCCAAGCTTTTTATGTAAAACACAAATTTTTCTCGATATGAATGATATATTCATTGGAAAGAAAGAAAAACCGTCTATAATGATTTCAGGAGAATGGAAACGGCCAGAAGGACGAGGAACAAACTTATTAAGCAACTTTATTAATCTTTCATTAATCAAGCTCAATTTCAAGGTAACAATGAGAATGATGGTTCCTCGTTCCTTGGTGGCTGTGTGAAATTTTGTGGGTGTTGTATAAAAGATAGTTGTGAATATGCTTATGGGTAAGGTGTTAAGTCAGACGGATAATGTGAAGAAATTCAAATTTTGGGATTAGTTTGATTATTTGTTCTGTAGTTTTTTAATGTGTTACCCACCGAAGAGATTTCGATTGAACGAATGATCATGCATTGTCGCTGACAAATAACAAAATTCTCTTCGTGTTGTTCATTTTCATTTCTATGTTTGGTTTTATCTCGTAGTACATTATTTTTTATGTCTTTTTATTCTTCACAAACTTGTGTTATTTTGTTTTCCTTCATAGCTTCCTCATCTTTCTACTTTATTGCCTTCCTATTTTTATTCATCCCATCTTCAATACATTTTGTAATTTGGTACATCTGAAAGTCAGAATTAATTATCGAAGATTTTTTATACTGGGTGCATTTTTAATAAATTAGTCTTGTTGGGTTTTTAATTTCAATAGATTTTCTTTTTAATTATCGATTTGATTTTTAATTCGCAGGATGGCTTTGCTCCACCAGAGGAATTGGAAGGTGATGGGTTGGCCCCAGACGATGAGGAATACTAACCCCATTATTCTCTCTGCACTTAGATTACGAAGAATAAAAAAAGTGGACAAAGTTTCAGTACTTTCAATGAATCAACAAAGAATAAATGAGCAACAAAGAAAACCCCGATAAAAATCCAGTAATTCTATGCGCATCTTTGATTATATGAAATTTATAGCTGAAAGAAAGAGATGGAAATGTTTTAAATTAATGAAAATTGTCAAGTAGAGTGATAAATTCGTTTATCCATCAATTTAAGAAAAACGTTGCGAAAATATACTAGTGCAGGCATCCGCCAATCATGCAGACAAATCCTAAATTCATTACGTCTGTTTTCTGTTTCCCCGTTATCTTTGATTCTATTGTTTCATTGGTTAAGAAAATTCTTACATATCCATCCAAATAACCGATCAATAATTTTTAATGGACAAATTGTGATTGGTTTATTCTCTATTATTATTTTTTTTACAATTTTGTACACGTTGAATCAGGAGATAAATGCAAATGAAACATCTTCATGTTCGACTATCCATTTTTTATATTTTTTCAACACGTTATTAATTAATCGTGTTAGAACTGATTGTGATTATTACGTGTCTATCATTTGCACTTTTCAAAAGTCACTGGATCTATATTAAGTCAAAGAATGTATCAGTTATTTTCAGAATGTGAGAATATTCGCCATGGCCAGGGCGGTTTATCCAAAATTCCATGGTTTTTATTCTCATAAATTCATATTGGAATTTGAAACAATCATGGAGCACAAATGGAAAGCAAAAATTTTAAGGCATTCTTGAGAAGACAATGAAACAATTCATAATTGGAAATGAAAAATTGAAAATTTGTAATATTGTGTAAAATGAGTGAGATTGGATAAGTGTTTAAGGTATGAGATGACCAAGATTATTGCAAAGAATATTGAAGCTTTTTGGAAATTATTATTAGAATAAAAATCATCACTGCGATTTTTCTTTATTTAATATCCTTAAAAGTATCTGTGTAGTCTGTTAAAGAATTACATTTGAATTATTTATGAACGACAAAGTGACATAATTCTAGATTTTCAGGTAAAATTTTAAGAAACTAATAGTATAGGCATCAAACCTGAAACATTAATTAATCCAAAATAATCTATTTCTATGGAAAATATAATGATTTATGTTAATTGCACTTGTCTAAGACTTCCTTTCAGTATAAATCAAAATAATGGGAAGTAAGGTTATTTTGTCAAAATTAGCATAATTTCGTTCGAGTCTTATCGTCTGTGAGTTTAGTTCAAAACTATTTGGATGATTTCATAACGAATTTATGGAACATTAGTGTCAGTCGCTGAATAATCCTCTAACGTTTCGGGATCTTTCCATAACGCACTGCAAAATCCAATCAATAGGGTAATTTACTTGTTAACTATTTTGTTGTTCGTTTACAATGGATAGATGAGAATAACAATTGAACAATTCACGTGCTAACGGCCAGCTGTATGACGTCATAACGTATATCAGATGGTTTATTTTCTTTGGCAAAACAATAAAGTAACATAACCTCTAAAAATGGGTGACGCCGACCAAGATAGTGCTGATCGAAGTGATGGTGATACCAATAAATCTGATAAATTATTCACTCTGAAAAAATGGAATGCCGTTGCAATGTGGAGCTGGGATGTTGAATGCGATACCTGTGCCATTTGCAGAGTTCAAGTTATGGGTAAGTCAATTTTTAACCTCCAAAAATAATCACTTTACGAAATTTCCAAGAACAGAAATTACCCTTTTATTATAATTACCCATAATTAGGATCAGTTTTATAGAGTGAATTTGAGTTCTACCAAGTGGTAAAACAACAGAAAAGTAAATTTACTAAACGAAAGACTGAAGAAAGCCATTTAATATTTTTTTGATCGGATAATCGAAGGACGAGTCGTGTATTCAATCCTTCCAGATTTTCTATTTTTTCCTGGATGCATTGAACAATCGCCTTAATTATTCAAATTACTCTCTCATATTTTTCTTAATCCAAGAATCTGAATAAAAAAAAAATAATTTCCTAATTTCCGGTAAACTTTGAATTACATGGCTCACTCTTTGTCTTTTCAGTAATAGAATCTTTGAGCATTTGCAATTAAATTATTACCGCTTCCCTAAAATGTTAAAAGACCTAGAAAATATGGTAACTGTAAGTTTTCTTTTCAAATAAAACCTATAATTCGTAAATGTATCGAAAAAAATATTGCCCATGAACATGTGAATATTTTTGAAAGAACTAGAGGTGAGAAAACGAAAGAATTTAAGATTGTTGAGTTGGAAAGATTGCATTTGAAAAAAGCAAATTCAAAATGTATTCGTAAAATGTGTAGGACAGTTCATTGCTCGGTTTTTAGTCTTGGAGTGAAAGAATTTCATGTTCGTCCAACGCAATCGAATGGTTTGCATTCTCCAGAACGAATTTCGAAAAGCCAACGGCTATTTTTTTTTTAATTTACGGAAATTAAATTGAACTTAAAGATATTGATGTCTTGAATTTCTAGCAAGAGTCGAATCTCATTTTCGAGGCTAAAAAAAATCGTCAATGTTATTAAAGAAAAAAAAATTATGAAAAAAAGACAATCTTCATTAGTATAGGGAATAGTAATTCACCGTTAATAATCATTTCATCTGGACATTTTATTGATAAACAATCTCAATCAATGACATTGGAATATCTAAGGTAGTGCACTTGCTCTATTTAAGTGGCACAAACTATCAAATTTCAATTTCCAATAGGACTTTATTTAAGTACGCTACGGATTTGGATAAAAAGTCTCAATAACTTCAAACTTTCATTGATAAAATAACTTTGTTCTGCCTCATTGTCTGTATCGATACAATACAATATCAAAAACTGTCTTTGCAAGCTCACGACGTAATCTAACAATTTTCTAAATTGTAAGGCACACGGTAGATTAATTTTTAAAAAATCACGGAGAGTTACACCAGAATTTTTCATCTATTACCAACCCTTGGGGTAGATTTGACGTTATGCAAGCAGTACAGAGTAGTTGATTTGTTATTCTAGAAATGATCTAGCTGAATCTGGTGCAACTGATCCTAAACTCTCTTTACTATCATCACCTATTTACATTCAACGATCTACATTTCAACGAATATCTTGATTGTTTAAGCCTTTCTCACAATATGTACAATTACTCGACTATATAGTTTAAAGATCTAACTAACGACAGGAATCAGCCGTTTATAAAAATTAAATATTCTCTAAAAATAAGTTGATCAGACTAAAAGTGTACTTGGAGTACACTCATGCTCCACTAGTGGAATTATTATATACATATAATTGCCATGAGGTAGACTCTTGAGGACTTTCCAGGATGAAATTCATGAAAAAATAAAATTCTTACATTTGATTCCATTACTGACTATACCCTTCACGAAAACAAGTGCCAATAGTCACCTGTACCAATATGTCAATTTAAAAACATGAGAATCATGGAATATTTTGTTGAAGGTCAAATACCTTCAACGTTCAGCACCATTTGCTATTTGAGCAAAATGTATCCGCCTTTGGCTCTCGTAACTATCTACGTAAAAAAAACTATTGTTCTGAACTAGATTACATTATTTGATTGCAGACAAGCAAAACACGAGATGAAATAAACATAATAATGACGGAGTAAGAGAGCTCGTCTAACAGTATCCTGCCATTGGCTATTCATATCGATCGCAATTCCATCCACAAAGTAGTACAAGATCAATAAAATGATCGTGGAAACTAGCAACCAGTTGGTACAGGTTTCATATTTGCAATTGCACTCATTCTTCTCACTGGTCCAGTCAATCGCCTCTCAATTTCCTCGAGCGATCGACCCCTCGTTTCTGGCACAACGAATATAACAAATACCAGTCCCAAAATGCATATAACTCCAAATGTCAGGAACGTTCCACTGGTTCCAATAAGTCCAATAATATCTTTGAATGTTTTTGTTACGATGAATGTACAAGACCAATTGAAACCGGTAGCAATACTGGCAGCGGGTCCTCGAATTTTAGCTGGCAAAATTTCTCCCATCATCAGCCATGGTATTGGTCCAAAACCAAGGGAAAATCCTATTACGTAAATTATAAAGCCAACCAGTGGTAGCCACCATACGGACGTCATATCGTACATGTTCTCTTTGAAATAGAAGAAGACACTGAGGATTGCTAGAGTTACAATCATAGTAATGCTGCTTATGTAAAGCAGTATTTTACGTCCTAATCGGTCTATTAACGCTGTTGCAATAAAGGTAGATGCGAAGTTGACAATTCCTACGATGATAGTACTCTTGTTGCTGTCTTCGGAATTTCCAGCACTCTGCAGAAAAAAATTACAAATGAGATTTTAAATTAACATGTTAATGTTTTTTGTTTCATCTAGAATTTCAACGATGTGAGTTTCAACTCAATTCTAATAGAATAATAATTTATTCGAGTGATATTAGTGGAAATTGCAACGTTACGTTTGGAATAATTTTGTAATACGTTTCTTGAATTTTTTTCTTCTCGTAATTGGCAATTCGGCACTCGTTAATGATTGCAATGATCGTTAATGAAACAACATTTGTCAATCGATTAGAATGATTGAACCTATGTTTTAGGAAGGCTAAAGATTTCTACCGATTGGTTTTCTTTCCAGACCACATGACTCTTAGAAATATTAGTTTGTCATATGTTCTGACGTTCAATGCCTTTCCGGATTGAATAAAATTAATCATCAGATAAAATAACAAATTAAATAGGTGTGATTGAAATGATAATTTATGATAGAATGAGCATTGCTACGTTACTATCATCAGACTGAAAAACATGACCGACGATTCCTCCAAGCATGAAGCATTCATTAAAGATGTCGCATTGTCAATAACAAATCAATAATTGCATGTAAAATTCCACAGAAAATAATGTGATGCAATACAAACCTCGAAAATTTCCACAGTGTAAAATATAATGGCATTGATTCCGGAAAATTGTTGAAAGTACATGAGCCCCAATGAAATGGCCAGTGGTTTAATATTTTTTGGTTGTAACAAAGCGTTAAGTTGGCTTCCAGCGTTTCGCTCACTCTCGACATGTGTCTTCTCAATTCCACTGAGCTCCTCAGTAACATCACCAGTCTTTCCACGGAGCCACTCAAGTGATTTGCGTGCACGCTTCATTCTGCCCTTGGAAATATACCACCTTGGAGTTTCGGGAATGAGGAACATGAGCAGGAGAAATGGCACTGGCAGACAAGCGCCAAGGAAAGCAAGATGTGACCAGTTCAGATACGTTCCTGCGATGAAACAAATTAGTATTCCGATGTTGCCAAAGGCTGTTGGTAGGAGACCAAGAGTTCCACGAACTTCAGGTTGAATCGTTTCGCCGAGATACACTGGAAGCGATAGGGAAGTAATGCCCACACATAAACCGCATATACCACGTCCAACTAATACCAGCCAAAAATTGTTGGCCAGTCCGATGAAAAGCCATGCTGCAAAAATAATGAATTATTAAAATCAGTAATATTCATTAGGTATTTGTTATGTTTAACAAGCAGATTTCTTACCTCCAATGAACGGAAAAGCTGTCACAAGAATTGTACTTCGTCTTCCGATATATTCGATTAGCGGACCGCCAATTATTCCACCGAAAAGAGCAGCCAGTGGCAGTATAGATCCGATCCATGAGCTCTATTAAAACATAAAAATGTTTATTGTGAAAATTAATTTTTGCAAGGAAAATTTAAAAAAGGTGAATCACGACACGGCTGAAAAATTCTTTTAATTGTTGTGTCGGTGATTCCGTCGATGATTTGTCGATGATTTGATATGAGGTCACGATTTAATTCGGTAATAGGAAAAGGTAAAGAATGATATCAAGTGATTAGGAGGCGTGTTCGTTCGTCACTGAAATCACCAATAAAAATGGTGCATCAATAAAGGATTGAGATGTGCCCCTGAGCACGAGATCCAAAAGTCGTAAGTTCTATGAAGTTTAGAAAAATGAGTGACGTAGATTCAGGTCAAATTTGTTGATAGGTTGATTGACCCTTATAATTTATTTGCCCCTGTTCTGGAGCCTCACATTTAATCGACATTTAATACGCAAAAGCGAAGGATTCGAATAAATAAGAGAAATTGTACTTACAATTTGTTCATCAATTTCAAATGGTGCTGTAGCATTCATAGACGGCAAAGCTGTTGACGTATAAGAGCTCGAGAATCCTACCATCATCGATCCCAACGAAACTGTGAGTGCAGCAAGCACCTGAAATCAAAGGATCAAATTCATTTGCAAAAGTCCACATAATACGCAGAATATAACAAGTTACCACAGAATATACCTGACTAAATGTGCATTTAGCAACAGGAGCATTACCAGGAACTTCAATGTTCACATGGGTATCAGCTCGCATAAGGATTTTCATTTTGATGAATTTAAATGAAGACTGATGGAGACCGAAATATTTTGTTAACTTTTCCCGTGTTTTTCCTCCTTTTCTCTTCAACTTGCACAAATACTTGTGATTTTTTCCACCTCGAATGAAAATGAGTGAATGAATCTAGCAAATGTCCTTTCTCGAAAAAGATAGAGATGATAATGACATTCAAGTGATCTAAACGTCAATGGGTGGACGTACACTTCTTTGGGTACATGAAATGTATGAATTTTAATCCCCGAGATTTTTTTTATGAAGAGTGCATGTTTTTCGGCACTAGCCACTGAATAATATGAGTTATCGACACTTGCTCGTATCGTTTATATGAGGGAGAACAAGTGTTCAAGGGGGGCAAAGTAATCCCCACTTTTCACATCCCTACTCCCTTCTTCATCGTCTTCTCATTGTTTTCCTTATTCTTCCTTATGACACTTTACCAATAGCCATAAACTTATACTTTGAAGTGTTCAATAGTTTGGCATGTACATCACGTAATTTGAATTAAACGAAAGCTGTACTGGCTGACATTCGTCTGTTTTTTTTTTCTTTTTTAGTTTATCGCTGAAATAATGTCGAGACTAATTTTAGCATTTGTTGTATGCTAGGTGTTTGGAAAAATAAGCATGTTCTGAGCTCGTTGAAAGCAGAATACTGACTGGGGGTTCTACTGGAAGCTTTGACCTTCAACTGCTTTGGGGCGAATCACTGGATAATTCGCGCAGGCTCTTGCATACACCTCATTCACATCACCACCTACGTACACGGCAAAGTACAATACTTTCCACACCCATAAATACAACGTAATGAGACCATCATTTATTTGCCCATCGATCTTTGTGCATTAATTACTTAAATCTTCAGTTCCACTGTGCTCCAATCTCCGCAGGGAAAACTACAACTATTTTTCCCGGAAGTTGATAAACTAATCTAATTGAATATAAAAGTCTCGGCAACGAAAGAAGTTCAAGGAAGAAATTTTTGAGGTCTTAGAAAACCGAGGACAACGGCCAATACGTGTTGGCGATGCTAATATTGTACGTTCTACACTGGTGGAAAATTACACTTGAAATTTATAACGACTAAGTTACTTGACATTTCTGGGCAATTCTTCATTTATCAATCAGTTAATTTCTTAGATATTCCGGTAATTTTCCATATTCACGCCCATGTGGTAGTAGAAAACCGCGAATTTTTAAGATGAGTTTCAAAATTTGATGATCATTGCTAATTCAATTCAAATTCGTACAATTAAAAATGCAAACTTCGTGGCTGAAGTTTCAAATAATTTTTAACAGCACAATATTGAGGGTTAAAAAAATGATTCATATTATCTATACTACTGTTTAAATAATCACGTGAAATTTAGTAAAGAACGTTGGAATAAATTTAATCGTAAAATTGAATAATTGAATAATCGTACCGCGTACCATACGTTGTCGCCTTATTGTGTCCTTGCGCCGATATCGAATAATTGCATCTCTTCGTCTACATTAGCGTTATAGGTGGATAATAATAACATTAATCAATTAATTAGAGGCATGTGTCTGGTGATTCCCAGGTGCTTTGCACATTCGGATACATCTTTTGAGGGCTAACGTCACAGGCACATGAGAAGATGATAGACTTGTGATGAAGTCCAGTTACCAGTTTATCGTATCGGATACTTCTTCCGCATTCTCGAAGATTCCATGGTTCCGTTTCTTCTTTACTTGTCAAGAACAATATATGAGTCATTTCTCTCGTTATTTCAACGATTCCGTCAATATCGGGAAAATATATAAATAAATTCAATAACAGAGACGTCACGTGCGTTGACTTTTTTAATGAAATAATATGAGTGGAGCGTGAAGATATTTCTGTAATTTAGTCGGGTATTCCATTCTATTTGCCTTCATTACGCTCGGTCCATCATTTTATATCGTCATTATTCTCAAATTAAATAATTCGAATATATGATTGCTTATTATCTATTTTTGAAGCCATCGTTTTGTGATTATTTCTCCGCAGTATAAATTTCAATTAGTGTAATTCATTAATATCAAATAGAATTTGGTTTATTATAGTTTTCGTAATATTAATGTTTCTCGGCAAATCCATGTGCCAATATTTCTCATTATTGTTTTGTTCGTCAAATATTTTTCATTTGTTCTTTAAAAAAACGAATGTAGTCTTTGTTGATGTTGGTTGGACCAAGAATTTCAGCTTTTTTTTTTGAGAATAGCCCAACGGTATCATTTTTTGAATAAAAATTATCAGGATCGTTAGGTATTATGAGTTGCTGACAATCGATTGTGCTCTCGTGACTACATATCCAGGTTTTAATCTATTACGTGCGTCTTACGTTAATTACCTCGCGACGCAAATCAGTTGCAAAGTTTTATTACGAATTTTCAAATGCTTGTGACAACCGGTGATAACACATTTTTACAGCTGGTAGAAATCATGTCTTACTTAATATGTTCGTCCACAGATATAATTTATGGTTTATGTTAGAGTGGTTGATGAAGATTGGAAGAAGAGTTCTTGCGATTAAAAATTTCGCATGCGCAGATGTTAACGTTTTGCCTCACATTGAACTATTTACAATATTATGCCTGATGCTCTGATATTAAATATGAGATGGAATCAAAAAAAGTTCTTCGGTAATCAACGACAACAAGATTTCATTTCAAAGTACATAGTCCCACAATTTAGATTATACATGTCGTCAATGACTAAAGATCACGGAAAATGGGATATGTATTCTATATATTTCATCAATTCCAAGTTCTTCCAAATTTGTTAAATATTCCAGGCCAAGAGCTAATTCTGTTTGTAGAAGAATATCTCGAAAAGCTTGTTTTCATCTTCAATGTGCTACAAGTTATGGGACAGAAACGATAAGAAATATGTGACGACCAATCTGCGTTAGATGAATATGTAGGGATCATCCAAGTGATCACCAGTTCATATGATATTGTATGGTACGAATGTTGAAGAGAAAAGGAGGTCACTTGAAGGTCATATTTTGCGTAGATAATTTCACGACAAGAGCATGATATTTCATAGCATCTAAATGGATCAAGGATTTTAAGTAATTTTAAGTAAAAATACATCTCAACTCGGGACTTCGTCTACATTGATGATGACAATTTCACACTGATCGAACCGATTAGTTATTACTAACAAATGAACAAGTCTGCGATCCATTCGGTTAACAAAGGCACATTTAAGAGTTGTTGTTCAACGCGCTTTTCCTTTTTCAAACAAACTATTGATGAAATGTTCATTTGGTCAAATTCAACTTTCGATAGTAGTTAACGATTTTTATTTCGAATAAGTGAAAGGTTAGTACTTACTTGGATAATAATCGCTTTAGCTCGGAGCTTAGGCGCTCTTGGAGTTGAAGGACTTGAAGGCTCATTGTTCTTGTCCTCTAGCTGAATCTGGGAACCCATTGGTAATTCAGCGTCGGCAATCTCCAATCGATCTCTGGCTACCAATGGCTCCAACTGCGTATATTCCTTGAGATCCTTGTTCAAAGGATTGTAAATTCGGGAACTTTTTATTTCGTTCTCATGTCTCAAATTTTCGGCATAGTAGTGACTCGGGTAACTATTATTACTCTTCCCTCGACCCTTATCCGTTATTAAAGCTTGTTGACTGTTGAATGGACTTGCATTTGTAAGAAGTGTAGTATTGGATGCACAATCCTCTGGTAAAGTTGAACTTGTTGTCGATGATGTTAAGGTTGGCACTCGGCTGTAATATTTGGGAAGGACCAAGCGTTCCTGAAGAAGAAAGAAACAATTTCGATAAGAAATCCTGTTGAGAATCGGAGAAAAAGTATTGTTTAAATCGGAATGGTTTTTTATGTTTTATGCTAAACGAAATAGCAATGGATATTTTCACCTGTCTGTCGCGGACGTGAGAAAATTGTTCGAGGATAAAGATTTTATTGGATTAAGCGGACAACACGACTAGTGAAATAATTAGTTTGAGGGGCTTTACCAGTGAAGATGAAGTATTTATACATCTCTTTTATCAGCTTTTCGTTGAAAAGAGAAAGATCAGTAAAGAATTGAAATAGAATATCCCAAGTACTGACCAATGGAATAATGGGATTGTATAGAATACGTTGTTTGACCGCGTGATTTGAGTGTGAATAATGTGTTGACTCTCACCCTGGTCATGATAACCCCGCGGTTTGAACTTAAACTTTGAGATGCCGTTTCAGCACAGACCAAACACTTAACTATTAAAATACCGGTTAGATCAGCCGAATTTCTTATCTCAACACTTGACAATTTTGTATACAAAATGACTGAAATTAATAGAACGCCCAATGAGATGGACATGTTGAAGATGATATTCATGAATTTGTTGGAAATTTTTTCATCAATTACCATGTTGAATTTATCGGTTTCCTCCATTGTCTTCGAAATTACCACTGCGGATCTCTACTGTCCTAATTTTGTTCCCCAACTGCCGTTTCAACTGCAAACGCACATCCCTCCTTATCATACAGAAGCGCGTACGAAAAACGGCAAGATCCAATCACAACGCATACACAATGCATTTGGCATCTTAACATACAATGACTATTACCACGTGCTCATGATAAAGGAATTCTCTCGGTATTTACATGTGATATTTGGTGCATGATCCCCGTAAATATGTTTGTTTGTCACATGATCCGAGCGTGGGTAATAGTCCTCTCATTATCAGTGGGCTTTGCCACTGTTTACACTTCTCGTCGAAGGAAAATAAGGAAAAATACAAAAAAAAAATTATGCCCATAAATGTTTTAAAAAATCGATTATTCTCAGTATCAGCTACCGCGTAATAGTATATCGTATTCTTACTCATTACTTCCACTCTTTCTTTTTCTAAATACTTTTCATCAATTGGTTATATTGACGTATATAGTGTTGGAAAATTACACTTGAAAGTTCTTACAACGACTAGATGACATAAAATTTCTGTAGAATGGAAACTTTCCATTAACAAATTGGAAAATTTCTTGAATATTTCGGTAATTCTCCGTTTTCAGGTTCAGAGCATTGGAACCCGTAAAAATGAACATTCAGGAAATAATTTGAAATCTAATTGACTGTAAAATCAACAATTGTTGACGAGATTTTCTATATATTTACGGGCTTTCGTTCAATTGTATTGAATTTAACATTTATTGTTGAACCAAAAAATCCCAACTTTACTGAATTTTCCAGATAAATGAAAAATTTAGTGACGGTTTTTAATTGAAATTGAATTCAAGATCACACATGCAGAAAACATTATACTTAAAATACAAGGCTTAGAACGAAATTTACGGGATTTCTAATCCCGTACATGACGAGTTTGGAAACGTAAAAATTACGAGCTAAAACCACGTTAATTACGCCCGGAAATGCCGTAAATTACCATTTTTACATGGTAAATTACGAGGTCGATCCCGTAAATTATGTTTCCGAACTCGTAAATTACGGGGACCAATATCGTGAACTGCTGAGTTTCGACCTCGTGACTTACAAGGTACGACTCCGTAATTTGCGCTCCCTTTCACGCCATTTATAACATCTCAATCACGTAAAATCTGTGAATGGGATCGTAAATGCAAGAACCCATAGAAGAAAACCTTTTTTGGGCAACATCAAATCTTCAAGTTTGAAGATATTTTGGGTTATTTTAACATGACTTTCAGTGACTTTTTTCAATATTTTTCCGAAAAAATGTTAAAAATTGTGAAAATTTGGGAAGCATTGCTGAAAGATGAAAAAAATCGAAGATGACTAATTCTGGAAGAAATAATTAGCTATCTTCCATGGCTTCCTTAAAATTTCCCAAATTTACAAAAATTGCCGAATTTTCAACATTGTTGTAATTTTTTAAATTCCCTTCTGAAAAATGTTGAGAAACAGTCACTGAAAGTCATGTTCAGATAACCCAAAATATTCTCAAAATTGAAAAATTGATGTTGCTCAAAAAAGTTTTTCTTATATGTGTCCTTGCATTTACGACCCTAATGACAGACATTTTACGTGATTAGGATGTTGTAAATGTCGCGGAAGGGAGCGTGAATCACGGTGTCGGATCCCGTAATTCACAAGGTCGAAAGTTGTAATTCACCGTATGGATCCGCGTAATTTACGGGTTCGAAATCGTAATTTACCGGATCGCCTCCGTAATTTATCACATAAAAATGGTAATTTATGGCATTTTTGGGGGTAATTAACGTGGTTTTAGCTCGTAATTTACGTTCCCAAATCCGTACTGTACGTGATTGAAATGTATTGAAATGCCGTAAATTACGTTGTAAATCTCGTATTTTAAGTATAGTATTTTCTGTGTGCAAAATTTCAATGATTTTGTGATTGTAATTTCAAAAAAATTCCAACAATGTAATCTGAGTATTTCCTTAACCCTTTAGAATATTATTCGAGTGATCCTTCCAAACAACTGAAAAATTAATCATTATTGGTTCATTGTTTACATTGAAATATCTGCTGAGGTAATGGGTTCTTGTGAGCAGCTTCCTATGAGCTCTTTCTTTTTTTCCCAACATACTGCGCACTCCGTGCGCCGAATTTGAGTTTCGCGGTTCGAGTTGACCAATGAGGAATTAGTTTTACGCGGTTCGAGATATTTCGACTCGGGCGAACTTCATTTTTGTGTTTCTACTTTTATAATAAGGATTCTTTTTACGAAAACAAGTAAATACTTGAATCAACCGACGTGCAGTGGCCGTGCGGTTAGAGCATGGGGGTTGGCACATGAGATTCGTGGGTTCGATTCCCAGTCGGGGAAATGCCAAGGGTTTTTTAGAGATAGAATTCGCTCTAACTTGCACAGGTTTTCATCGTACGGGCGGTACTCTCGAAAGAGACGGCTGTACCTGGCCAAGGTTTTTTTCCATGAGGTTTTCCCTTTGGCCCGCGGAGTAATTGCGGTACAGGGGGAACTGGGGGTGGAAAATGTAAAAGCCCGAAAGGGTATACATGTGTGGACAAGTTTAGTTTAGTTTAAATACTTGAATCAAGTATATTTTATACTTGATCCTAGAAAATTCATAATTGTTATGAGGATCATGGGAAAATCTATTTTTCATCGATAGCAATTGAAAATCAAATATACTGGGATCAAGTATAAGACAATATACTTAAAATAAGTATATTATTATATACTTGAGCAAAGTATAAAATATACTTAATATATATACTGATCTCTTTTTCATATTCCATGTTTCATCATCAGTTTTTCCATCAATAGATATCAGTTTTGATAGCTCACTTAAGAGAATAAAAACGCAGAGAAACCTTTTCTGATTTTCTACAAAAGATAGTATTCAATTAGTCGATTTAGCTATTGGGCTAAAGGGTTCAGCCACTGGAACATTTATTTTACTCTCTATCAGGAGGTGGCGAAAGTGATCTGACATATCAATACTAGATGTTTGAATGTTTACTTTTAAAATAAAATCTCTTAAAAGTAAATAAATAATTCATACATTTTCTTATTTCTATTATTTTTTTTGCAAGTAGTATATTTTCATCTATTAGTTTCCGTACTTAAAATGAGTGTACGGTATACTAGCTCATATTAGTCCATTTGACTCCCTACTGGATCATCCGAAAAATTTGGTAATAAACTACAGTAGAATTCGCACAAAATACCTCCGACAGCGAAACGCAATGAGAAATGGTGGGAATCAGAGTCGAAGGTTTGCCTTGACCCAGTAATCAAATTGTCATTCTATCGCTTATCGGAAAGTTTTCCCCGTTACTTCAGTTTAATATTTCCGTCTTGATGTAATAATCACTGTTAGCAATTATCGAGAATCTTATTAGATGAGAGATTACCACAAGTTCAATCAATTATATGAAGGGTCAATTTATGTATCATCAAAATTATTTATCTAAACTATGCGTTGAGTCACGGAAATCTAATGGATCAGGTCAATCATGGAAACTCTGGAATATATGGAATTAATTTAGCTGCAAAGTTTTTCACTTCTAGAATTCTTTTATTTGAGGATAATCACGAGGTTCGTAATTTTCCACTCCATTTCATTGGCTAATATCGGTTAAACGCAAATTCATTTTTGAAGATTTAATTTTCCGGATAACATCACGTGCCGAAACATTTGGCCTTGGACTGGCACATTACAAGTCAAGACTTCATGCTGGAATTGTTTATTGATACGGAAAATTACCGACATGTCTACAGTCCATTAATTATGAAATCAAATTCATGGGACTATGACTGGAACTGCGACCAGGCAATTCCAATTTAATATAACGATCTTTCATACGATATGTGTATACATGGTGAGAAAGAACTCGACACTGTAATTAGGAACAAGTAAACTTGAGAAAAAAACAAAAAAAATATATTAAATTAAGAACATTACATGTGACAAACATTTCTACGCATTTTCCCTTTCATTTTGTATTCATTCTTTTTTTTATTTTTCGAATTTTAATAGGAAATTGTTACAAATTTATAATCCACAATACTCTGAACTCAAAAATTAGAAAATTTTTGATTATGGGTTTTAATTGATTTTTTGGTACTGTCCTCTTCTTCTTTTTCTGTTTCTCGTTTTTAGCTGATATATGGGAATCAACAGAAGATAGCGATATTTTTGCAAATATATTTTTGATACAAAAATATGAGAGCTACAAAAAAGCTATTCCTAAAAATCTCCCTATCTCCCTTCAATTCTAAGATATTCGGTAAAATTTGCGTGAAAAAAAAAGTACCTGTATTACTTTACCATTTCCCAACAAAATAGCTACAACTATAAAAGTGGAAAGATCTTGAGATGGTTGAAATTACTTAATTGAAATCGAAATGCCCGCGAATAAAAATCAATATTATTCAGTTTCATGGTGTCTTTACATTCATTAATTGTGATTACACCAATTTCTGTTGAATTAATATATTTTGGCCAAATAAATCTACTGGGTACACAAAATAACTATGTACAGTATAAAACACACAGTACATATTTTTTAAGTGTGACTTGCAGTGAGCAAATTTACGCGGGAACAGTAATTCAAACAATGTTAATGGAAAAAGAACATTCAAACCGACAAGACAAGTCTAATAAACTCTGTCGATAACGTCATTGTGCCATGATCTAATACATGTGACTAAATCCACGTGACAATCCGTGTCAAGTTCTTTTAAAAAATATATTCGAAGTGCGTGACTTATATTCGTTATCTTTTCTTCAGGGAGGCAATGGTCCAGCGACCAGTGTCAATCGGTAAATAATGAAAAATGATTGTTGGGATTGATTGCTCTTTATATCGGGACGTTTGTCTATGAGGCGATCTCCTACGTTTTTCGAGAATGAAAATGAAATCCACTTTGCGAATCGCTTGCGTGTTCTCAGGAAAATTATCGGATTGTGTGTATCAAATGCTCCGATATTGATCCAGTTACCACACACATACTGCTGTTGCCATTATGTTAACAGCACTCAAATAAAAACCACCGAACAACTGGTGCTGAAAATTTTCTGCGTTTTTAAATTTTAGCCCCTCCCTCTATGGCGAAATATCTATGAAAACTATGTTTTTAAGAAATGTTTCATCCATTGCTTCATAAAGAATATAATCCAATATAATATTATTTTATATTATATATTACTTGTCATAATATAAGGTAAAATATATGGAGAATATATGAAAAATATATACAAAATATATTTGAAACTTAATTAAAGATAATGATGAATCCTTTTTCTTTGGTATGGAAATTTTATACGATGGATAGTTGGTGTAGTTGGTGTCATGCGAAGTGTAGAAAAAACTGCTTATTATGTACAAGTCAGCTGCATTGTTATCTGAATTTTTAGTTGACATACAGACATTTTTCTTTTATTTCCATGAGTAAAAAGTGGCCCATCCTCGTTCAAACGTTTGTAGATCTTTAATTTTTTTTTTAAACCAGTGGGAGTTGAAATATTGTTTACACCGATCTTGTTCAAAAATTATTAAGGATTGTTGCATGGTTACATCTCAGTTTCAGGAAACTGGGAATTCCCTGATTATTTGCATCCTCTATCAATTAAAAGTATACATGAATCTCTATTTTACTTATTTTACTCAATAATTATAAACAAAAATGTTCAGTTTCCATTCATATTTTAATTAAAAGTCAAATTGTTTGAAAATTAAAAAAACGCGCCTTCTTGAAATTTCAAGATAAATAAGAAATTTAGTAATCGTTTTCAATTGAAATTCAATTCAAACTTATATTATTGGCAATTGAGACGACATTAGGATGGAAATTTCAAGAAATTTCTTAACAATGTATCAAGTAAATTATCGTATCTAAGATTTCCATGAGGAGCGTCACTTGTAAGGATATATTTGCCGACGTTCTACTGGTTTGAAATACCGAAACCGCAAGTAGAGAAGAACAGAGGATCAAAAAGACAACCTCTGCTTCATGAATATATCCCTGCCATCCATGTGAATTCACTTGGCACAAGTAAATGTATATCTCTAATGAAGTAGTCAAACGAGGTAAGTTACCCTACCACTTTAGTGGGTTTCCCCAAAATACCTCTGGAACCAACGCAGATAGCAAAGCGTTTATGAAGACCTTTTCCGCATTTCTCAATTAACCCTATAAAGAGGATTTAATAAAATTTCGCCATCCCCTTTTATTTCCGAGATATTCCCGAAAAACTCACCGCAAAGGAATATTAACTCATCTCGTGGTCACGCAAAAAAAAATCTACTTATTTCAATTAGATTCTACTTCCAATATAATACATACACAATTTTAATAACTTTAATGATCCTTCAACAATATTTAGGAATTTAATTCCCTATTTATTGGGAACAACTGATAATTTTCTTTATTCTCCAATTTATTTAAAATATCATCAATTATTTCGTCTAAAAAATCATCTAGCATTGATATATCGCATTGAAAATGGAATATTCTGAAATCAAGTACATATACTTTATCTTTTTTTATAAATACTTGATTAATTGATTATATATTTTTAACTCGCTCCAATATTTTTTCCTATTACAGATATAAAGAAGTAAATGCCGCGAAAACAAAACGATTAGACTTTGAAATGTGTGAATTTTCTTGTGACTAGGAAATAAAGTTGAAAAGTATTTGATTTTTTTGCGAGATGAGGCCAGTAAGTCAGAGAAGTGAACTCCAACTTGTGGCGTAGTCAAACGGAAGCGCACGGAACTTTCCAGAAGCCTATGAACCGGCTTTGAAGAACAAAGTTGGACATAACACTAGTCACTGTTGGTAAGACAAGGAAAATCGACATGTGACACATAAAAGCATACATTCCATAAGAGAATAACCAGCGCCGTGTAAAGAACTTCCTTCTGTACCGACCTGACAAATTTCACAGTATTTTGAATGACAGGGAGTTGAACTAGGCAAATACCCCACATTATGTTAATACATGTTACTCACCTTGGGCTTGGAGAAGGGCATGATGCAGAGGGGCCAGGGCTGCATCATCTGCCGCCTTTGGGATGACATCTTCTCCCCTTTATCCTTGGGCACGTTTTGCTATTTAGCAGGTGGTTTTAAATAGTTCGGGGGAGGTGTTGAAAGGGTCTTTATTCAATATCACCTTCACTAGATTAGTTCCTGGACTGTCTGATGGAGATAACAATATGTAACTGGAGGGATTGTCGGTCCGGTGTGACTTGCCGGTTGTCTGCTGACGTTCTACACCAGGGTGTAGAAGAACTGCTCGCTATAGTGACCAACCAATGTATATTGCTACACTGTCTCTTTCTGTCAGATAAATACTTTCTCTCCTTTTCCTTCACTGCGACGTATATTCGCACTCGAGTACTTGTTGCACCGTTTGACTTTTTTTTCCTTTTTTCCTTTTTTTTGTTTCCAGACGTCGAGAGATATTATTTATTTTTCCTCAACTATAATCTGGATAACTACGATGGAACAATTGACTGTTGACAATTGCCTCAACAATGGTGAAAAATGCTTTGCGATTTTGAGTGTTTGTCAAGTGCGTGCACATACGTTGGAGTACGAGTGGATGTATGTTATATGATTTGTTGGTGATTTGAGGAATAGGTAAAGGACGTTTCTAGAAGGTTTAAACGACTGGTTATCGGATTGTCAGGGAATTTGTTGGTTTATATATGCGAACAAGTGGATCCCTGGTGGAGCCCTGGGGGAGAGTATGATTGGGCTAGAGCGGCTAGAGGCGCCAGTCCTAACGTCGGTTCTCTCCGTGCGATCTCGTGTGGTGGAAAACGGACCAACCAGGGAATCGCATGGACATGTTGTATATTCGATTGAAAAAATCAGGGAGAGAGGGATACTCAGCACTCGATTAATGGCAACCATCAATGAAGAGATGCAATTCCTCTGTGGATTTCAATTCTAGACAACTATGGAGATAGCAAACTCTCCATCCAACACTATTATCCTCAAATAAGTCCTATCGTCTTTCCAATGTTCCAGTATCATTTCAAACTCGTTATTTATGTACATCAAATCGTAATTTACCGTAACGTAATGAAACACTATGAAATTTATATTTTCATCTAATTTCGGAATTCTTGTTTTTGTAATTTGTGAAATCACGTGTCGTTGTTTTAGCAGGTTGAACCTTGTAATTTTTATTTTCAATCTAGTTATTTATGGGCTAGGATCTCGTTATTTGCGAGGTCGAACTTTATAATTTGCGTTTGGATTTTTTGTACGTAGTAAACTCGAATCGCGTTTTTTTCGAGGCCAGTTTTTAAGTGGTATCTTGAAACTCAAGGGGGATAGCTATATTTTTGCACGTGCATTTTGATGAATTCAGATAAAGATGAGAGCTGTAAAAATGAAGTGTGTGAGAATATCACTATCTTTCTCTCTTTGGTACCAAGGTATCTGTTAGAAACTGGTCTCCAAAAAAATGCACTTATCCTGTGTTTAAATGTTCAAATAAAACAATTATTTATCACGTGTCAATTTGAACGAACAATTTCTGTGTTTTCAGTTGTCACTATTTACATTTAGATTATTATTATTATTCATTAGAATCATGTGTAAATGTAATTTTTGCAAATTGAATTGTTCATATCGTGGTATATTTTATGTTCAATCTTTATAAGATAAATAATATTTTTTTATTTGGTTCTGTCAAGACCTGAATAAATTTTTGTTTCAGGTACTGTATTTTTCGTATTTATTGAAAGAACGTAGGGTATCTCTGTTTCCTCTGTTGATAATGTAAAAATTTTTCTACGCGTTGCTGAATAAAATTAAATTTGATAACGAGTCTTATCTTTAAAGGCAATTTAGAAAATACATGAAGTTAAATACACAATTTCATCATTATATACTGTACGTCTTTTAGGATCTATAAGAAGTTTCGGTTAGCGTGATTTTGCATGGATTTAATGATGACGAGTTGACGAATTGAGACATTCCAGACGACAAATATTGATTGTATGTTTAGGTTTCACAGCAATGAGGAGTGTTGAGCCGTTAAGATATTTTTCTGCGCACTTGCTCCTGCCATTAATAAACCCCTTGTAATCCGCATTTTTTTTATGAATTTTGGAACAAATAATTGCATCTTAATTTTGATCGATGAAAATATAGTATCTCGAATTTGAAAAAGCTAAAAGATTTTACTTATAAGACTTTAATGTGCAACATACGAACAAATGCAGAAAAAGTGTAGCGGAATAACGCAAAAATAAGATCTTGAAACGCATTCAGGGTGCATCAATAATATCTGGTAGAAATCGCTCTGAACTACGCGAACTTTATAGAACGTAACGTAAAAATCGTATTGCAGTCCGAGAAAATTCCAGAAAGAAGAGCAAATATTTATTTTTTGCCGCCAAGTTTTCTGAATTCTAGGTAAACAAAAAAGTTTACGATGTTGATAGAAATCCATTAAAAAATTACGCAAACCGATCCACCGTTGGAAAACTACACATAAAATTTCAAGTAAGAAACTTGAATCTTTTCATGACAACGAAATGATAAGAAATTTCGGTAAAATTTCCAATTAACGGATCAATAGATTGGGAAATTTGGGGTATATCTGAATTTTTAGGTCCACATACCCACGGAAAAATCGTAAAAGTATTGAAAATTCAAGCGATGATTTCCCTGAATTTTCAATTTATTAAAATTTTAACTGTCTTAGAGGTTGAATTTTCATGATGAGTCACTGAAAAATCAATTATCAATTAACATGAAAAATCCAAGTTTCTTAAATTTTCGAGATGAATGGAACATTTAATAAAGATTTTTAACAAAAATTTAATTCAAACTCATGTAATAATAATATTCAATCCACATTACTTTGTGACTGGAATTTCAAGAAATTTTTCATAATCTGCGTAAAAATGACATACCGTTACATAATAAAAAATTGTTTTTTTTTATGATTTACTACATAAATCAGGTAAATATACTATACAATAATTACAAGTTAGGGTAATTGTTTCGAATAAATTCCTCTTCGTGCATAGAATAATTTTGTCACGCAATTTTTATAATATTTTCTTCCGGGTACGATTGAATTTGTTGTTTAGAACTCTGACCGTACCGCAATGCGTCAAATCCTGTATTTCCATGCATAAAAATTCAAATGGAAGAAATCACGTGCATCGAAGGAACTTCATGGAATATTCTGTCAATTATTAGCGATACCATCTCGACACTCGGGAGTAGTTTACCCTCCCCTTCCGGTTCACCTAATCATCTCGAGTGTAAAATACAACTTTAGTGTACATCACGGAAAGCCAATGCTTCCGTATTGATCAATATTTTCGCTTTACTACGCAATAATTCATTATAACGTAGTTGTCGATAACGAATGATGATTAATGAGTAGAAGTTCATTGAGTAATTCTCATGTAAATGAAAAGGTACCGATTGATTTTGTTTCATCCTGAACGCATCTAGAATGTTCCAGTTAGAACACAATCAAATCATATATTTCCAATGATTGTATTTCATTATAGTACAATTCAAATGCGAGCGATGATGATGGGAGTCAATGGTTCGGGTCAAATGTGAAGACCAACAAGAGACTGTTATAAAGACAGCGGAAAAATTTCCAAATTCCCCTTCTTCTGTCGTCATCAATTTAACATCAAATTGAAAATCAAACATTACATATTCATTTAATCTTTCACCAAAAGATAAACAAAATTGTTACATTATTGTCATATTTTACTAGTGAATTTCAATCTGTACTTTTACAAAGGACTTAGAATTATTGGAATCGATTGGGAATATTCCTCTCCTCCTTTCATCTCTTTAGTTTCAATTATCTCAACGTTCAATCGATAATCATTTATCCGTGGTGTCTTTATTACCCCCGGACAATTACAAAAATTTCCATTGAAGACAAACTACATTCCATCTGCCGAGCACATCGGTTAAGGTTCCATCCCAATTACCGCACCATCCTTCGAGTATATTCAATTGACATTTGCTTATGATATAGTGCTATGACATTGATAACCTACTAGAATCACTCAATGCTTTTTGCACAATCTGCATAAAACCGCACGCACAAAGGTGAGACAAAAGATTATTTAACGAATAAATTCTGGAGCAGTAAATAACATGTTTACACACACTTTATCAATCACTGACAATGCAAAATTCCCCGACAGCATTCGTAGTTAATTGTTTATCTATACAAAGAATTTCACTGCTGTTGTATTACGGATGCACTCATAAAGAGAAAAGCTTAATAAAAATTACCCTCGATAACACGTAAAATTTACAAAATGTAACGTGCAAATTCATGATCATAATGATTTGTTAAATCTGTGTATCGTTTCTAAAAAAATTAAAAAACATTTTTGGAATTTTTCAGTGATAAATCCGAAAATTTACTGAAGGTTTCAGACTTTTCTTGAATATTTCTCTCCATGTTGCTGCACGGAGACGAATTCAGAACAAAAAAGATACTCAAGTTTTTTACAGAAATTTCAGTGCTTTGTCATTTTTACGTCATTTTGTGGTAAAAATTGCTGAATCACATACACTACACCATTACAAAACGTGAAGGAAAATTTTATTTAATATTTCCCCCCACGCGGCCTTCCCCGATTTTTTATATTTGCAGCTTTTTGGCAAATTGTGCACCAGATTGAAGCGAAGAAATATAATTCTTTGAAGTTTTAGCACCATTTAATGACTTACGAAGTCTCCCCGCTCCGTAACAATTTTTCTACACTGAAAAAACAAATTTGTCTGATAATTCAATTTGCTTCTGCCAAAGAAATCGATATATATGTTCCATATAAGTAAATATATGGAACAATTTACATTGAAATACGTGGATTTTTTTAGCGAAAGTAATAATTTCTTTCAGTGTCATTTTATAAAAAAAACTTTTCCTCTCGTATGCCCTTGCGGGCCTTTACGATTTGTTCTCTTCCCACTCCCCTCTTGTACCGCATTTCTCGAAAAGATTAGATTAGGAGGGAAAACTCTCGTTTGAGGGAAAAAGCTGCCTTGGTACAGTCATTGTTTTGACAAGACCACCAGTCCGCAATGAGATGTGAAACTGTGAGATTAGAGCGCTATAAATTTTGACCACCGGTGTCCAGGATCAAACTCAGATCATCGGCATGCTCGTCTAGCTGCTCGTCTAGCTGCTCATCTAGCTGCTCGTCGGTGTACATATAATCCTTCAGGAAAATTGACAAATGGTACTATTTATCAAGGATAAAACTCAAAAACTATAATCTTTCGTGCAAAAAATTGGGAAATGGTGAGATTCCGGCAGTAAATATATGCCCAAAATGGTCTTAATGTTCTGACATTTCAATGATTTGTTCCATGTTCACTTGATACATGAATTATCCCCACGCGTCAACGGTAGCACGTGTTGAATGAATTTGATTGAATAATCTTAGTCTGAATGCCAGGCCTATAGTATTGTCTATTAAACCATATAAACATGACGCGATTCCGTTTACGCTCTGAAGAGTAACGAGAAGAATATGAGCGGATTATCATTTCAAGTTTAACCGTCGCAAGGTCAATCATGCAAATGATTTTCTTCACGTACCTCCTCTCCATCGAAGTCTCTCTTGGAGTTTTTATTGATCTTGTTGTAGGGATTCTTAGCAATTCACAGTCCAATAATCGTGGAAATTTCCAAAGTATTACTTATCTCCTAAATTTGAATTATTGTCAATTGTTTCATGGAACTGAATCATTCATTGTCACTAGATTAGAAAATTAGCATGTGACGTTACTACTTTATTCATGTTATCTGTTGTGTCTTGAGATTTGATGACACAAGTTAGTGCATCCCACTTATTAGATTATGTCATTTATGACTGAGAAAATCAATGATCTGAGTAGTCAGGGCTGTAATATTTCGTCAATGATTCCATGATTCCAATAAGTCCGATAAATAATTTTTTTTTCAGAAAGCGACGAGTGGAAATGTACCGGCGACTAGTCATGCATATCCGATTGAAATTATTTGACGAGAGGTTTTAATGCATTCAGTTGAATGCTATTTGAGTAGTTTATCTCCCAGAGATTTATCTCCAAGAAAAAAATTATAAAATAAATGTATAATTATTCAACTGTATATTTATCCGTATGGGTATAGTTTTGCATCTTGATAATCGTGTTCAGCTTCACGTTTCAATAATCCTGTTGTAACAGCTTAATGATTTATCCTATTCCTGTGATGGCTCACGTTTATGAGAATAAAAGATTGTATAATAAATCTTGATCCTCGATGGCCGTTGCGCATCTTCTAATGATTATGATTTTCATATCATGTCTTTCTCAAATTAATTTTTCCAAGGGATTTCTGAGTACTTTCCATTTTCTATTCTCTGCTCTCTCAAATAATTTCAGTGATTTGATTCTTACATTTTTCATTCTATTGAAAATTCAAACTAATTCATTTCTCAGTTTGGAATATTGGCCGAGCACATGAAAATAGGAACTGTTGCAATTTTTTGGCCAAGTTTGGGAATGGAAAAAATGTGGTCTTGCAATATCTGCTTAATAATATTTTCATATTTATAACGAAAAAATGCCGATTTTGAATTAACTCTAGATATTTGAAGGAACTTTTCATTGAATTGAAGGCAATAAATGTCTATTGTACGAGTATAAATTCGTTGAGACGAGGATATCATGCGGATGTGAGAGTTTGCACGTCGCATTTCAGAAGGAGGTTGAATGTAGCATGTAGTAATGAAGATGGGATGATGAACGACCCAGTATAATGTTAAGGATATGTTACTGTCTCCCCACTGATTTCAAGTTTTTACAGGTATCTGACAAACTGTTGATCAGGCTGGCACGGAAGAATATACGTTTCTATGGTTTATTTTTATCCAATGACTCACAAATCTCATCGCTATACAATAATTGTTCAACATTTTTCTAAACTCTTGGCTATCGATGAAATTTCAAAAATGAATCGATAATTGCATATATTTCCTTATCGTTATTATTGCTAATAAATTGACTGGGTACTCTTCTTACATTCTTATTATTTTTATATTTATTAGAACGTTTTGTCATTACTATGTATTTAAATTTGATTTTCACAAGGTTTGCTCAGGAGTTATTCAAAATGTATAGTCAAATAATATGAATGAATCTAGAATTATTCTAAGATTAAATAAAATCCACTCACAAATATGCAAGATTAATCAAACAATTTAAGATTAACGTGGAATTACATTAAAATCGTCAAATTAATATAAAAATTCATGAAATTTCATTAAATGCCGTTATTTAGAGAAAGTTAAAAATACTGATTCGATCCCAAAACCACATATTTGGAATTTTTTGATTATATTTAATGCTCTAAAACAAATTGGAAAGTCAAATTATATAAATCTACTACATGAAGAAAAAAACTTGAATCGAGTATTTATCTTTTCCGTGTAAGTTTCTAGTCAGAATTCCAAAAATATAAAAACATAAACACATGAACGCTAATGAATGATGGACTAATGATAAAACTAAAAATCCGTACATTTTCCGTGTCAATTTGAGCAACAACTTGCCAATAATCTGCAAAAAGCAAGAACAGCTTTGGGGCATTATTGCAATATTTCTTCAACCATCTGTCAATTCAATTGGATTTCCATTTACTTGAAATATTGGTGGGTTTGGCCAGGAGCAGTTACTGCTGTTTTTCTTCGCATGTTCTCCGAATTGAAAATAATATTTAACATAAAAATCAAGTTTGACGTTTGCGATTTGGTGACAAACGTGAGACTGGAGGTGAAGATTAGCCCAACGTTACATTACCACAAAAATTCTCACCGCCAGAATGTCACGTATTCGCGATCATGTGACGGTATCTTAAAAATGTTCGTCAACCCATGTTATTTTATTTTCTTGCATAGCTTTTGCACAGAAGATTCACCGTCAATACGTCAAAGAATTCCAGAAGATTATAAGGCAACATGAGCTCTTGCCTATAACTGAAATACAGAGGAAATTTCTTGTGAAAATTGAACACAAATAATATATTACAATAATATATTGAGTATAACTTTTGTACATTTATTAATAAATTGTGAATTAAAACTCTTCGTATCAATAACCGATGTAAATAATTAGTTCATGGATTTAATATCAACAATATTGATCATAAAATTAAAGATGATTTTTTTGAAAATAATTAACTCAACCATAATGAGAGATAATATAGATAGACGCATTATATTTGATTTATAACTAATAAACCTTGTAAATGAGTTTCCAATGCTTAAAGAGAAAAAAAAATTCCACATGAAATTTCCATTATCGAATCTTTATTAATCGACGACTCGATATCGCTCACTATCTAAACTGTTAGATCATGACACTCGAAACTTTTAACTATCGCAAAGTGACATTAAATTACTGAAGAGCACTCCGTTGACGTTATCAGTTAGTTACTCGAATATTCAAGTAATTTCAAATTAGTAGATCCATTCGGCAGTGGATAACCTTAAAAATGTTGAAAATTCATTGGTTACTCTTCCAAATTTGCAACGTATTGAAACAATGAATTTAAAAGTTTGAGCTCTGAATTAGAAAATTAACGATTGTTCAACAGGAAAAACTCCACTTGCAACTTTCAATTGAATTCAAACCCATAATATTAAAGATTCAAGCGATATTGTGATTGCAATTTGAAGAAGTTTCTAATTATGCACCTGATCTACTTCTCTCAATGAAAATTATCATAATGTTTATTTTTCTGTTAATCCTTCCGATGATATGTATGACAAAAACAACTATTAAAGCTGATGTCTCTTTGGCAGAGTTTCTTGTGCACATTCCACTATTAATATGCATTGTTTACTGTTTGTTTTTGTAGATGCGTGTTTGCGGTGTCAAGCTGAAAGTAAAAAGGACTTTTATGGACGGCAAGATTGTGTGGTAGTTTGGGGCGAGTGTAATCACTCATTTCATTACTGCTGTATGTCCCTCTGGGTGAAACAGAACAATCGCTGTCCTCTTTGCCAACAGGAATGGTCTATTCAACGTATGGGAAAATGAAATAAAATAAGTCAGCAGTACCTCCTTTCTATCAATATAGTCATTATCAAATTGTTTTTCAATTAATAAATCTATGTATACGTCTGGACATTTTTCTTTATGACTCAACAACATTTATGATTTCATTTTGCATTTTTTTTATTGATTCTGCCTTCACAGTGAATTAAAAACATTGAATAGACTTTAGTTTTATATTTCAAGTGCAACTTTCGTAATTATTAATTATTCAGTTTTTATAAATAATAAAAATTATCAGTGTCGGCATTTTTGAATGACTTGCTGTGGAAAATTGTATTCTCACGGTGATGCCTTGATAATATGACTATATGAATGACTTCTGATTACATCGTGAGATGAATAATCTCATTTTGAATGCCAGCAAATGATTCCAAGGATCATAAGTCGCGCAACGAACTCTCAAACGCGGATGAACTAAACAATTGGATGATAACGGATTGATATCCATCAGTTCTGTGACAGTTAATGATCGAAGTGTTATATCCGTTGACTCAATTTCCAAAAATCCTGACTGATTGTATCATATGGGGTAAACCGGATCGAGGCAAAAGTCAGACATGAATATACCAGGGACTTCCCTGAATAAATTCGGAGGTGAATATTTCCACGGAATTGAAAAATAATTGCTTTTGTCGTGGTAGTGATAATTCACGAAAAAATCAATTTATCCTTTTCCTTTAGATTTACTAAATATCTCACGATTATAATGAGTCCATCCTCTTTAAGGAATGTCCGCTGTCAGATGCTTATCATGTGACGAGCAATAGTGGATTCAGTAGCTGAACAATTTGTCGAATTGTCATTTAAAAATATCATTGTTTACTGTCTGTGGGAGACGTGGTCATGTGAGAGTGACGGTGAATGCAAAGGTCAATTACAGAAGCTGATGAAAAAATCTGGAGAAACGGCGAAAGAGTCACGTCATCCGTACTTGTTTAAACATGTGTTCCTTTCTTATTTCCCATCAATCTTCTACATCTTGTGGTCTCAGTCATCCCCACCAGGGAATTGGATGACTGTGGAGGCTCGGCTACGGTACAATTCTTTCAACCAATCACCATGCGGAGGCTCGACCGTCTCGTTTGGAATTCCCATTCCAATATCGCTGTTCTCATTATTATCATTATTTTCATCATTCTTGGAATACTCGGCGGGGGAAAAAACTGGACAGCTACCAATTATGACGTATACATTTCCTACTGAGTAACTTAGAAAATATGTATCGTATGTTTTTAACTGCCTACTGCTTTGCCTTTTTGCATTTCTTTAAAAACTCCTGATCAAACCTGTAATTAATTGGTAAACTACGATAAGTGCATTTCACCTAATGTCCGTTTTCGGTGAATATCTCGTCAAGAAAACGGGAATTGAAAAATTTTCATGAATATGTTTTTTTAAGATCGATATGCGGCCTCGAAAAAAGATTTTGATGAAAAATTTTGTTTTCTCTTCTCATTTAGAAGATATTCATCAGTTATTGGAGCTAAGCCAAGTCTACCAATTCACTGCGAATATCTAAAGTGAAAACCAAAAATAAATCATTTATTTATGCTATATATTGTTCGAAGAATTGTTTACTGCCGTCACAGTGGAAAATGGAATTGCACTTTGTCACATCTTGTAGATAGCAATCTTTGAAATAAATTGAGTGCATTCAATCCATGTTCATTACGAATCAATCAAATGTATTATGTGTGATCTAGACTTATTTATTGATTTTGATCCATATAGATAAAGCATATTACATATCGTAGATAAGAGCCAGTGCGTCATTAAAAGACTCACAACTCACGTCTTGTATGATACGTTATGCAGCATTGCTGCAATATGTTATTCTGCGACGCCTTTGTGCCGGTGAGAACCACCTGTTTGCTCTGGCCTATGTGCGTCCTATTTTCTGCTCATCACTGCAAATCTGGATTAAATTGGTAGTCGAGTCTGGAATTATCTGAACAGCCACTTATTTTTCATTTATCAGCATTTCCAATTGAAACCACATGACTGTTTAAAGATCTACTACTGGGATTCCAATATTTTTCCTGGTTTTTCACATTTTTCACAAACGCTTCATCTGACTAAGACGAAAAAATATTCCGTTTTTGAGTTACATCATTTTTCAATATTTGTCGAGGTCTCATTATCGTATTTAGACTCTTTAGGGAATTCACAAAAATCTTTAAAAAATGTGGAAAAAAATCACGCAATTTTGATAATTGATGAGTCTTGAATGAGGTTAATTGAGGATAAATGTGAAAAACCGTTTTGTTGCGTCAGTCTGGTCAATACTTCCTTGAAAATCTCCCGAGAATATTCGCAATGGACAGATACCCCAACTGTTTTTTACCTTTTTTTTAGAATATGCTTCTTGAACACATACATATGAAAAGCTATTCAACTTTTTCATGTGGACGTTTGTATTATTCAGATTTCTCAAATGATAGCATCTTCATGCACATATCTGTACTTTATTTACTTTAATTTATTTTTAATGAAAATATCTGCCACGTTTCTAAAGAGATAATAATTACAGAGGAATCATGATTCACAAGTATTTTTCCAATGAACAATTGCTTTGTACAATTGAGCGTTTGTCATGAGACCAGCATTTTCGGGTGAGGTGCAAAAAATTGTAATCAACGTCAATGGTGTGACTTAATTTGTGTTGACATAATTGGGTTGCAAGGTCGATTATTTCAAAATGAATTGTTATTTTGAGTGGCAAAATAATGGAAAAAGAAATACGACATTCAGACGTTCTTGGAACAGTAGTAGTAGTCATAAAACTTACTTTTACCCTTGAAGTACAGGTATATTTCCAGTGAGATACTCCTCTACCAATCAAACAACAGGAAAAATAATAAAAAATATGAGAGAAAAATTGAGTTTTACAAACTGGACCTTTCATTGCCTTCTGAGAGGTAACGGGAAAATTCACCAGAAGAGTTCCTGGCGAAGGCCAAATGGTTTATATGATATACAATGCTGCAAGTGGATATTTCCATAAGACGCAGATTTATCGATGATTATCAACAATAGCAAATATTCGCGAAAAAATTATTCATTTTTGAAATTTCAATCCAACAACCCGCCTTTATTATTTAGAAATAAAAATCACAAAAAACCGAATACATGCGTTCGTATGAAATAGAATCTTTTAAATATTTTCTTTTTCAGACCCGGAAGTTTCTACTTTTTCCTGTCCATGCGATTCCGTATAAGTTGTTCACACTATCTTCTATTCTTATTTTTAATGCCCGAGTCTTCTAATCGGTGTCTTATCGATTTGAATACAATTTCCATAAGAGCCCATGCATAGGGACAATCTTCCTGTCTTTCTTTCAAGATGGCTTCCATTTTTTTGATAATCAAAGAAATTCATCCCATATGGTCTGTTATCAGTTACGAAAAAAAAATGTTTACGCATCCTTATCTCAGATCATACTTATATGGTAATGGATATCAAATAGTTCACTATTGAATTTAAATTTGAAGCTCCTAATTCTTCTATAAGTTTTTTTTCTGTTATTCTATATTTTTTTTTGTAAATTATTAAAGAGACTGACGAAAGGGAAAATATCACGTTTTTGGGTTTTAATATTATTTATGCGTTTTTTCTACATTTTTGCGATCGGTTTCAAGAGTTTAGAAAAAAGGCAGGAAAATGTTCGCACCACCTTGAAACTTCATAAGTGATTAAATAACGACAAAACGCATAAACAATACATTTTTTCACGTCAATCCCATCGTAAATTTTCCAGAAAAATGAAAAAATCGTTGTATTTGACAGAGAGGGTGTAGAACATCCTTCTGATATGATTAAATATATTTTGGAAAATCTGTTTTTCTGTGTGGAAGAGTAGTGTGTAATTAATAGAAGCGAGTTTACTCTAATACAAATGGCACTTAACTTTTGCCTTTTGCACATGACTCCCTACTCCCACTACACTACATAGGATGTTGAAGGTCGTTGAAAGGTTATTGCGGTCGAAACGAGTAGAGAGGCTCGACTCCAACAGCCAATCATCGTTCACCGTTTGAGCGTTTGTTTTTTTTTTTTATCCCAAAGAAAAAGTGAATCGAACACGTGTTTCCATGTCTTTTATTTTTTTCTCTCTTCAGGCTGGGACGTGGATGACGCAATTACAAACATTTTCAGCGTCAGGGGAATATTTCAGTGCATTTTGCAATACATTTACTTCGAAATCACGAGCAACTGTAAATTGTAGGAGGAGTCTGAATGACTAAGCAAAACACTTGACTTTCTTTATCAAAGTTAAAGTTTTATTTTCAAGATAATAAAGGTTCTATATCATTTATCGTTTTTATTTATTTTGTAAAGTTGTAAGAAAGGCTTGATTACTCCAGGAACAGTCGATTGCCAGCTGCTTTTTGTTCATCATGTCAATAAATTTGTTTATACAAATTAGTTTCTTTACAATAATAAAAACGTGAGGTCTTCTTAGATCTATAAATACTAATGAAACCTAGAGTTAGGATTTTTAATATTTTTGCAAAGAGGGTATCGTGGTTTTGGATTCCCTGCAATAAGCTCGATGATACATTTTGATAATGAATATTCACATTTTGCAGGAAGGAATCTTTTTCCGTATTCTTCAAGGCACTTGTTGTGTAAACTTAAATAAAGAATCATAAATATAACAACGTTCGTATAAACTTAAACTTAATGTTTCATTCGTGATGTAGAAATCCGAATAAAGTGAATATTAAATTGTCAACTCCAAGAAAAGTTGAAAAAGAAAATAGAAGATATGGGAAATGAGTGGAATGTTACATCTCGATATTTTGATCATAGGCACAGCATATTTGGGCCAAGTTCTCGTCCACTTGTTTTGCGCTAGATTAAATATTCTCGTACGAGCCTAAGTAAGAAAAAGTGTAAATACTCTAATCTCTGTGTAGTTGGTCATGAGCAAATACTGCGTCGATAAGACATATCGTCACTATAAATATTACACTTTTGTTCACTGGAGTGTAGGTAATGATGGAGAGTTTTTATGCACATGCGAGCACCTAATGCAACGACTTGAATGATTTGTAATGATCGGGCAGATATTGTGTGTATCAACAGTTGGTATGTCGAGCACCTCGCATTAGTGGAATGAGAATTGTTGGATTCTGTGCTTGTCGCAAAAATGGATGCTGCAATAATTCGGCAGCAGTTGCACGTTGTGCTGGATCACGTACCAGCATTCGTTCGAGGAAGCCTTGGAGCCTTGGACTCACCTGAAAAAATCAGAAAATTATACATTCATCGCCTTCGTAATATAAAAAAATATTTTTCAAAAGTTGGTATTGAAAGGGTCGAAAAGTTGATGCTACTAGTTTTTCATTCTACCAAATTATTGTGGTGATCGAGCCATTAATTGTCCAATTACAATATATTGTTTAAGAGATTGTCTTAAAACTTTTTTGTCATGAAATAAAAATTACTGAAAGTAGAATGAAGCAAATCTAAAGTTAGATCATTTTAAAAAATCAATTTCTTTCACTTCGTTTTTTTCGAAAATTCCTCAATATGAGAACCTATTAATTGAAGAAAAAAATCTAGAAATGCTCATATTAATGGTAAAAGTCGAAAATTAAAACATTTAATAATTTCAAATGGGAGAAATAGAGCTTGACTTATATAAAAAAAGGAAAACGGAAAAAAGAAAAAAAGTTATATAAAGTTATACATAAAAGTTATAAATGCTAATAATTTCGAAGAGAGTGGGACATGATAGGTCGACTCATTTGGTTTGGAATGGCCTAAAAATAAAATAAAAAAAAAAACAAACCTTATGAGAATTTTTCAATTTCGGTGGTGGCATATCTCTGATGCGCCTCATAGCCTGCAACGGTGGTTCATTAAAGAAAGGTGGCTCTCCATCCACCATCTCGATAATCATTATCCCCAAAGACCAGATGTCTACCTCGGGTCCATAAGGCAGTCTTGAAATAACTTCAGGACTCATCCAATAAGGTGTGCCAACCAGTGATTTTCTTTTAGGTAGCTCTTGAGAAACTTGAGCGCAGAATCCAAAGTCTGATAATTTAACTCTACCATCAGCAGTGAGTAAAATTGAATCAGATTTGATGTCCCTATGAATAACACCCTGTGAATGAAGATATGCAAGTGGTTTGAGGCACTGTGAACAAACCGTTGCTATTTGACTCTCATCCATACGTGAATGAGTGACAATATCCGTGAGTGCACCACCTTCCAAGTACTCCATCACCACCCAAAGTTCATCATCAACCAAAAAGCTGTCGTACATTTCAACGATATTTGGATGATGATAGTCTCGCATTATAACGACCTCATTGAATAGCAATTCACGTCTCTGTTGTTTTCGAAGATCCATTTTCTTCACTGCAACTTGGCGATTGGTTTTTTTGTCTGTCGCTATGCAAACAGTGCCAGTACTTCCTTCACCTATTTTCAAAAAATTATCCAAATTTTCTCGCGGATCTCCACGACTCACCACCATCTGGAGAGCTGTTCTGAATTGCTCGTGAGTTAGTCTTTGATCTGCATTTTGCTTGTTCTGTGAATTCATGTGCTGACCGATAGATATGTTCCCAGAAGAAGTAGCGGATTTCAAATTTTGATTTTGATCAGGAGTGATTCCTGGCCCTGTCGTCACTTTAGACAGATTATGCATTGATTGTGATTGAACGTTCTCCAAGGGTTTCCCAAAATGTCCATGTTGAGGAGGAGTTGCTGTGCTTGGAACAGTTGCTGGTGATGTTGCTGTATTTTCAGGTAGACTGTAGGAATTTTGTAGGCCCTGGGTATGTTTATTCCCATAGTGGGAGCTTAGTTGGCTGAGAGGACGTTGAGAAGCTATCGAACCAACCGGCGACGCTTTTGTGGGGATTTTCTGGAGCATCATGTCTGCAGATCCACCCTGAAATAAGGAAATTTAATAAGTCATAATTTCCACGGTGATGTGAATACTAACGCAATTTTCTTGGAGAGACCTAGTTCGAGGCGCTTAGAATCTTAACTATCGACCTTTCTCTGCTATTTGTAACTAATGAGATGAGGATCGGTGGAAAAATGGCCGAGATTGAATCCCTAACAGTGCTGTGAGCGATGGTTTTCACCCGAATCATCATTTTCTGTGACTTCGTGGAAATTTTCTAGGTGTAAAGTTGTGAAAGTATCTCAATTTACGCAAATGGAAGGGGATAATCGTCTTCAATACCAATGCCGTGTTTAGAGTCCGGATTTCAATCAATTAGCGGGATGCTCGATTTCACATGGCATTTGTGCTAATTCGTCGGTTTTTTCATCAGAGATATTCAATAATTGGTTACAGCAATTCTGTAATTTTCGAAAAGTCCTGGGTTCGAATCACGGCTTAGAGTATTCATTTGTTTGAGTAAAAATTTTATATCAAGAATATTCCCTCATCTCATCTTAAAAATCCAAATCCTATTCCCTGATTTCCTGTGACGTCACAAGAATATGGAACGATATATAGAATTCCGTATTTGATGTAAAAATGGAATGATTTCTCGTAAAATTTATACTGAGAATATTGAATCCTGAATTCATCTCACTTAATCCAATTTCTATCCAATCGTATTGGATAGGACTGGGATGAACTTTCATGACTAATTTTTCTAAGAAAGTAAATCTATCTGTGTCAATGAAATAAACTTCAAAGACGCGGGCTGACAAAAATTCTGTAAATATCTTCCATCTTTGAAATTCATCTCAAGGGATGCCAAATTGCGTGGATTTCACTGATAGACATATCGCGTAATTGGTAATATTACGATAATATGACGGTCGGGAATTTCTCTGGAAAAAGAAATCTAATTTCCATTCTATACATCCGTCCAATTGTTTAGTTCGGCTGAAGTTTCTTTTGTCTTACATCTCAATATTAATTCCAAGTGTTTTCAGTGCAAAGTTTTCAATGCTTCTATAATGAAATTTTTTAATCATCAATAACCACAGTAAAACCTGAATTTTGCGAATAAAAACGAATTTTTGGCCCAACAATCGGAAACCGAAGAGAATTTTTGTTCTTCAGCACTTCAGTATCACAAATTGTATGGGTTCCTGGTTTTTCCAAATCAGAAATTATTTCTGTTACTTTGTATTATCTTGTCAACGTTAGTTCCATTGTTATTTTATTTTTTTTTTTCAATCCAAGATATTTTGAAGTTTGCATTTGATAAAACATGAATACGAAAATACTAAATAATAACATGAAAATATTAAAAAATAATAAGTATATATTTGCAGGAAGAACTAAAGGGCATTATCGAACTTCAAAAAGTGTCTGTCCTTGATGAAGAATATTTCCACCGTGAGTGCTACATTCATGAGGTCTTGACTATTAGATTTATTTTAAAATGTTCACAATTTTTTTTTTAATTCTCCGACTTTGGAGCCTTCTGCGTGAAGCATCAGCAAAGGATGAAATACCGAATAATGAATCGTTGATATTTATGGAATACATTTAGAAAAAATCATTTCTGCGGAGTAGATATATATAGCTCCTCTATAAAACCCTCATTAAGATTTTGGTTTCGAACCAATTAATTCCGAGTTTTGGAAAATTGAAAAATAGCATTTGATGAAGAAACTGAAAAAAGTGAGTAAATTACCTGATTATTTCCATTATTCCATTGAGCAGGCAAATTCATTGACGATGATGGATTTATTCTCTGGAAGTCATTTTCCTGCATTATCTGTTGAACACTATTTGCAGAATTCTGATTATTCGGAATAGGACTGAGATTTTGGAAATTGATTGATAGATTCGGTGGATTGAGATTGGAGTGAGTAAGATTTGGAGAGGACTGCATGTTTGGGTTCATGTTCTGCAGATTGGGAATGATACTGTGCATATTTGAATTCAGTCCAGCTCCAAGGTTCTCTGTGTTCTGACGCACTTTATCAGAAAGTCCATGATTTTTTCCGGGTTCAGATGATGAATACAGCTGATGATAACTGCTCGGACTTGGAGACATTTCATGGCCTTCAGGTACCGATGGCGGTAAATTTGTATTATTTCTGAAAAAGCAATCAAATCCTTCATTATATCCCGGATTCTATAAAATATAATTGGTGGAGCTGTTTTCGCCGTTGGCATAGCACATATGTGGGTAAAGTTAGGTAAAGAACGTAAAGCATCATGAAAGATGTGAAGGGGTACTTGCGGAACATTATTGGCAAGTAGGAGATAATTTTAAAAACTACAATACTTCATTTTGCAAATCTGAAAGGAACTTTAGTTCGACTATTCCAAAAGTATGACGGTAAACCCATTAAACGTTCATAAGTAATTAACAATTCAGAAGTACACTTCTATAATGAAGTGGTATGACGAGAAAATTTCACTGAACTCGTCGCTGAGTTTTCCACAAATATCTCTGAAATTAAAGAAGATAGCGAAATATTCATTGAATTTTTTTTTGTGGACTTAATTCATTACCAAAATGGCTATTACAGAAATTTCGCTATCTTCCATATTGTCAGGAATATTTTCGAAAGGCTCACTTGAGAGATAAGATAAGATAACATATATTGTTTAACCATTTGAGCAACAAATGAGTTTTAGCAATTGCTAAATTATCATTATATAGACGTTCTAATATAAATTGAAGCTAAGAAGAGTCTTTGAATATTTTCTACTTCTTCCTCTCAATTTAAGAATTGTTCAATTTAGGATGCATTTATGACTGAAACGATTTACGCTGCAAATTATTTTATGTCCGTTTTACAACAAAATAAAACGGGTTGATAGGTACCATTCTCTTTAGGGCCTTTTCATAAAAGCTACGTAGACATAACTCCAAGAAGATTGATGTATAAATTCAAATTAGGTCCTGCTTTTTTTTAACTTGACACATTTTTCGTTAAACAGAAGAGAGCTAAGTGGACATCATTTTTTAGTGGGAACAATCAAGAGTAACTCTACTTTAAATGAAATTCTCGAAAGTACAGTAACTATAAGTTTTTCTCTCCATAAAATTCACATTTTTGTCGTAACCCTGTTGGTACTTTGCTCCTGAATTCTAGGATATTTGAATTTAAACCACTATAGACCAAAAAAAATGAGCACCTGTAATCTCGTCTAAGTCGAGGTGGACTAGAAGACCTCAATGAATTGGATCTTGCAACGGTGCTAGTCTTAGGTAAACCATTCTCCCCTTTTTCGTCGACAATTCCTTTACCAGTTGGCAATCTAGGATCATTATGACCCCGAACAATTGTTTTCAAGTCCAATATTTCGGTAGGTGTGATTTCACTGGGATCAACAAGAGGTAGCGGTCTGTTTGTTGACTTGAGTATCTGATTATTACCGACAATTGAAGCCCATTGTAGCGGTAGCCCAACGAATTTGCCCTCACGTTTGTCAAAGCCGGTGTGTACTCGATGTTCAAAATTGGTGGGCGTTGAAATTTGGGGCTTCTTTTTCTTTTTCGTGAACATTTTTATTTTCCACTAAAGAACACAGTCCAACCAATTATGTAATATTATAAATTACCAATAAATTCAAAGATATCGTCACATGACTGGAAAAATGAATGACATTATCACCAACAATCCAACTAGCTCAGACCAACTGATTGTCGTAGAAAACTTGCATGTTTATATCCACAGGCTTTATAAAACAAAAGAAGCCAAGTGACAGCAGCAACGCCTACCAAGTACTCAACTCTGTTTTTTATGCTTTTTTTCTAGTCCTCTCTCTTTATCTCCCTCTAACACTGTCGTTAGTACTCAAGTTACTCGATCACTAGCGTTTATTCAAAGCGTAAAAAAAACTTTCACTTTTCCTGTCACAGGTGAATTGTTTAGCAGGTGGTTATAGAGTGATTGCACGTTGTAATTTTATGCACTTGGAACCGTTGTTAAATATCGAAAACAATCGGCTGGGGTGATTTCCGCGGTCCTTTTCCGCTTGTACTTGTATCGTGTACATAAACTGTACTGTACACATTCCTGATACACACCTCGTGGCTCGTGTTAGCAAGTGAAGGTCTTCAATCTTCATTGGTTTTAGGCCACAGCCGCCACTACCGCTGCCGACTCACCATATTCTCTTTGGCAGCAATAGTATGTGTTTGTCGTTTGCCACATGTATAAAGGTACACAACATACACAAGTGCCATTTGCCGGGGTCATATTCGGTGTATGTGCTATGCAAACCTGTGGAGTCATACCGGTTATTCCCTTGATCACTCCATAATTAACCAAGTGCCCACGTTAATGATCGATGAGACGGCCAAACTCCTCCGATCAAACTTCAATTACTACACCAATTTACTTCAATCTGCAGGGCATAATTGTGACATTATTGGGCATGTATGTTTTGGTCGATCAGGCAGTGTGGCTACAATTTAATCAGGTCTATCTGTCGACGGTAGATGGCAGCATTTCCTTCATTCAGACCAATTATCAAAAAGTATTGTTGAACAATGATTTTTCAGGAAAACAAATGATTTTGTCGAAATCTAGAGGAATTAATCGTATTAGAAAAATCAAGAATTTATTTCTTCGTTTGCATTATTGCGAATGAATCTATTTCTACAGATACAATCAGGGGAAAAAGTCACTCGAATGCTCTTTTTTTTAGCGTGGATGCAGTGTATGGCGTAGAGAGAATTTAATATTTCAGCTGATAGGGAATGAGATTGAATGCACCACGAAATTAAGAATTCGATATATCCATGTAGATTTACGTGTTTATTTTAGGCATCCCTCAAAAATCGCCAAATAAAATGTTATTGAATTTTCGTTTATTTCTCCCGCAGCATATCGAAGAAACGATTCCTTTATTATTCACACAAAATTTTTAATTATCAATAACAGCAGATTAATATTACCAGATTGATGGTCGGCAGTAGTTACCAAATATTTAACTGAACAGCAATTGTTAGACAATTCATAATTGATTTACAGTTATAACATGTCATGAGTCTTCGAAAAAAAACTTCTTCATTGTAAATAATGGCATAGTTTTGCCATTAGCGTTCCCCTAAATGAGCCATTTGTTCACAATCAATACATGGATTCCAGTTATTCAACTGGTTTAAAGTATGTATATCAATCTTTCTATCAGTGGAGTGAGACACTTGACAGAAGAATATTGAATTCAATAGTGTAACCCATTCGATCGTGCGACTGCCAATTAAATTTTCTGGCACATTGACAGGAAGAGAACAATGAGCATCAGAAATATAGATTCTCACTGAGCCACTGATTTCTACATGAATCAATCTGGGATTAATAGGGATTTATCTAAGAACTCTGTAGGCTCAACACTGCTTAGATAACCACCAAACCCGTAAACCCATTTTCCAATTGTTGCAATTATTATCTGTCGTATCCAATTTTTATACATCACAACGCAGTTTATTCAAACTCGATCTCAATTTGTAGTTCTTAATGGAAATTTTGGCAATCTATGGTTAGAAGATATACAGGAAGATCATACGGGAAACTGGATGAAATTATTGAGGGAATATTCTTGCTCTATCTGGATCAGTCTTTGCAGCATCAGCGAGATGTTAGAATCGGTCCGCTTCGCAACAGCACACGCTGAGAAGATATTCCTAGTGCCAGCTCTTAAAACACGTGACGAATTCCCTTTTTTTTATCCAGCAATTGACCTAGATTCCGAATCCTCGAGTGTCCTCAGCTTGTTTGTTTCAGTTAGATATTTTTGACCATCACAGTGGAAAAGCTTTTGGAGAAGCTCTTTTTATCCCTCTTTGACTACCGCTGCCTATTCTCTGAGGTCGCCTACGGCTTTTTGCCAACCGAGACGATTGTTGATACTTCCGCAATTGTCAAGATCACTGACACGGTTTCGGTAGGCTTTCTCGAGGTTTCAAACATGACATGCACAAGGAAATTCTTCTGTTTAACGCTTTTCTCATGGAGAAAATTCAACAGTGAAAATTTTGATGTCATTTTTTCAGTGCTGTTAACATGAAAATTAAAACTACGATAGAGAATTCAGGAAATTAAGGATGTTCGATTGCCTTTTAGCCAAAATTCAATTTTTTTTTCAATTTTTCTGCAAAATTACTGACAGAATTAATGTGAAAAAATATAACGTGTTTGCGTTCTGTCCTTATTTAATAGGTCACGAAGTTTCGTTTTGTGGTTTTGTCTTGAAGTTTAGAAAAACCGGAATTTTGGGGGAACTGTGGAGAACATCCTCAACTAACTTTTTAAGTAAATAGCAGAAATTTCATGTAACTTTGTCGTTGTTTATAGATGAAGCTGTTATTTTTTTCCACCTCTCAGCGATGGAAATAGCAAAAAAAAAGAGAGAGTAATAATGAAAACGAAAGGGAGATGCACAATGGCAGTCTCGAATTTAGTGTTGCATTCTACTGATGCTTGTACCCTTTGCCATAGTTAATTGTGGTTTTGTCAGTATATTGTAAATAAGAAGAAAAGTGGATGGGTAAAGAGGGGTAAATTTTATGGTGTCGTTGAAATACTCGTGTATTAGGGCAAAACATTGAGGGTGAGTGTGTGTTTGTTAGGAATGCTTGATATACGTTCCTGGGGTAGTACTCATCGTACTGCATAACCGGGGGTTGAAATCGATACCGTTGCCAGGGACAACCGTGACTATGCTATACGCGTGACACACCAACCAGCAAAACCAGCAAAACCCGCACAGGCCAAGGCTATTCACTCTTTCTCTCTCGCATTCTTCCTTTTCCTCCCTTTTTCCTTCCCAATCCAACCTTTCTATCCCTTCAAATTTAACTTTCCTATTTTATCTCTCAAGCACACTAAATACGCCCTAAAAAGCCCAAACTATGGCTCACCTTTACATCCACTCTGCATTTTTCCATGTATTCAGCCTTTTTATGCACGGAAACAATTGCTCTCTCATTATATATAGCATTGTTATTATGCGCATTGCTAATATATATTAGTGATACGCTTCGGACTGATCATCGGATAAATTATATCAATGTTGAGGAAAAGAAACGCCCAGTCAATGCGTACGTTTTTGATTGCCATTTGCAGAGAATTTGTTTTTCTTAGCAAGGAACTTCATTTTTGAATCAATAATGTTTTTACAAAATTGTCAAGTAAGAAGTTATTGCCGATATCTTCTAACTATTCAAGTTTTCTTTTAGACATTTTCGAGAAATTTTCAATATCTCATGAATTTTCATCACTGTGGAAGAATTTTCCAATGTTCTCAGTAAGCGTTTGCAAAAATTCCCAAAACTTTACTAAAACTTTCGAAAAATAAACGTACCACTACAAAAATTTGTGAGTCATTGAATAATGATAAAACCTAAAAACGGTATATTTTTCCACGTCAACCTGATTCGTTGAGATTTCCAAAAAATACGAAAAATGAGAAGATATCGGCAATAACTCCTTAATCACACTAAACGTTCATTTGGTTTCAAGATTTCTATTCGCAATCAATTATGCATTTGAATCAATCCTGTGGGTACTTTAATCAAGTAGATGCAAGGGCTGAAGTGCGCTATAGAGTATATTTATTTATTTCTTCTACGTACTTGAAACTAATTGTTGAAAAATCTATAAAAGTTCAAAAATTGTTAAATGTTTTAAATTTAAACTCATATCTATATATTTTTGCTAGTTTCTTAAAATCAATATTTGTGGATGTTTTTGCCTTAAGATCGAAGTACAATAGCTAATTAGTATGATAAAGTTGAAGATTGCAATTATACGAATCAGAAAAGATTTCTTGGTGGCTGACGAACATAAATTTTTTATCACACTGAAACTAAACCGCTTTTGATGGACTCGGACTGGCCTTCAAACGCTATTTTATGGATGGTGTGATAAAAGATATTTTCAACCGAGTGATGAATATAATTTCTTCGCTCATGAATCGCGTCTGACAAACACGAAATGCTGGACGTTGCTTTGCAGACAATGCCCTGATAATATGGGAAAATGAGGTACGCTACATTGCATCTATTTTAGATGTCATGGTACTCAGTGAATGCGATATTGTGGGATAATGCTTGGTGCACTACCAGATAATTATCCTGTTTTTCATTTTGACTGACGTTACACTGTTGGAGAATTATGGTAACTTTAATTTTTTGGTGGAGAAAATGTTCAGTTTTCAACAACGATAAAGTGATAAAAGGTAAATTGATATGAACTTTCTTATCTTATTTTTAATTTTATCCATTATTTATTCATTTCATTATCCACATATATACTCTCTCGGGCTTTTACATTTTGTTCTCCTCTATATAATATGTAATAAATTCAACCATACAAGATAACCAAATACTATGATTACTCCAGCTTAATTATGACCCTTTTCGGTTAGAAGATCTAAGAAGATTATTCAGTGTTAAATACGTATAGAAGCATCCATTTAAAATGGTATTTTTTAATTGTACTTTTATTATAGTTTGTATGTATATTTTATTAATTTCCCTACTTTCTCTTATGTATTTGCTATTATTATTATTGGCTGGTGCCAGATGGTATGACCATTGTGATTTTTTACCTAGCCGTCCCAGTACATACGTGGTACCAGAGCCTATAATTCCCTACCCGCACTTGCCCCTGAGCTAACTTATAACTAACTGCACTGGGTGTGCTTTCCGGCGATGAAAACATTCTTTCTATCATCGGCAGGACTCGAACCTGCGCTACATTGCAACGTTTTGCTCACGTAAAACATTTTGGCCAGCGCACTGACCACTAGACCAAAGAGTTACTTTCTCATTATTTCTTTACTATTTTATTCGTGTTTTTATTTGCAGCTTTCTATTTTTATGAATATGAATAGAACATGTATCTGGCAGCATCAAGATCAACGCCCGGATCAAATACTGTGTCTGGATTGCAATTTTAAACAAGCGGTTGACCGCTTCTACCCTGCAGATGACACGTCACTGTTACTTTATGGATTATTTATGCATATTCCATTGGTGACAAGCGGATCCATACCAATTCCCCTTTTGCAATTTACAGGGGGAGCTAGCTTCTCGCGTTACAATCCTATCCCAATTTTTCCTTAAGTTACTGTTTGAATAATGAATTTGATGTTTTACATCAAATACATGAAAATGATGTTTTACATCCTCTCCTCTAAAATTCATTGTGGAAAAATATAACGTTTTGTAGTTTTGATGTTATTAGTGCGAACATTCTCCAGCGTTTTTTCTGAACTTTCAGAAAGAATTACAAAATTCTGGAAAAAACGCATGAAAATTATCGCACCCTCGCGAATTTTCCTGAGTCATTCTGTAATGATAAAACGCGAAAATGTTATATTTTTTTCACATTAATCCCATTAATTATTTGTC